CTTTCAGCAAACAAGGCTGTGTCACATGGGGCAATTCTAGTTTGTCTTATATGGTGGCTGATGGGTCAGAATTGGCTCCACAGCAATGGGTTTTTGGTGTTGGTTCCAGAAGGGATTCTCTGAGCATCACGTCCATCTAATTTCTGGAATTGTAAGTCCTAGTGTGGCACTGAAGGCTAAGCACTGGACTGCTGACCATAAAATGAGTGGTTCAAACCCACCAGCTGCTTCTTGGAAACCCTATACAGGGTCACTGTGAGTCAGACCAACTCAAGGGCATTCAACAACAACATCATTTACATATAATTTCACTTAATATTTTAAACAATTCTGTGAAATCCTGCATCTTTTCAGAAGGGAACACTGAGGCTCAGGGAGTTAATGATAGGATTCAGTTCTTAGTCCTCACGTGACGTGGAGTAAGTTACTCAAGAGGACACTCAGCCCTGGGCTAATAAGGCCGGCCCTACAGGGCAGCTTTCTGGATTAGAATGACCCATAGAAAGTGCCTACCACAGCACTTGGAACGTGGTCAGTGCTCAGAAGATGTCAATGACCACTGACCATGTCCACAGGAAGGAATGCGTGTCCTGTTTTCACTGGGAGGCACAGATTGGTCAGGGAAGTTCCCTTCCTGGTACAGACCTAGACCCATCCCGAAAGGTTCTGATTTTGACATATGTCCAAAGTTGGGCACCTAGAGCTCTGGGGTATGACTCATGAAGTGTTCTCTGTCCCAACTACGCAGAGGTGTCATTTGGGGGGACAGTGTAGTGAGGTCCATTTCTCATCTACCTAGGTAGCTTTTGTATTTTAAATTACCTTTTTGATGAGGTAATCAATACATAGGGTTCAAAAATCAAAATGATAATAGGAAAGAATAATGATGAATCCGAAAAGCAACTTACAACATGAATGAATTCAGAGGACATTATGCTAAGTGAAATTATTGTTGGTAAGAGCTTTTGAGTCAGTTTCAAATAGGGTTTCTGAGGAGCGGCTGGTGAGTTTGAACCATCAACTTTGCGGTGGAGTGCTTATCCTACAGTGCCACACCAATTAGTCAATCACAAAAGAACAAATATTGCATGAAACCAATTGTAAAAAGTTAAGAAAATGGTTTCTTGATAAAATGAACATTCTATGATGGTTATCTGGAGTTTGGGCAGAGAGGGAAAATTATTCACAAGCTAGAGAGTAGACACGTGTTAACATGCGTGACAGGGCAGGAAATATACAACAGGAGGAAGGTTGGCAGAGAAAAGATGAAAGTAGCAGGAGATACGGGGAGGAATGCAAGAGTTAAAGTGAATAGAGGTAAATAATGTTAACTGATGGTACATGGGTGGAGAGGATTGCAATCATTGTAATGAAACAAAGTTTATGATTTCTTGAACGTAAAACTGATGATCTGCTCTGTAAACCTTCACTCAGTTCACAATAAAAAGTTTAAAAAAAATGATATAGAAAAAATTCACTGTAAAGTCTTGTACCACCCTACCCTTGTCCATGCTAAGGTTCACCACATTTACTTTTTCTCTATGCAAATTCAAGCCAATATAAACATTTATTCTTATTTCCACCTCCCTTTCTTACAAAAGTTAGCATAGTGTATATGCTGTTCTGCATCATGTTTTTGCTTAAAATATATACTTGAAGATGTTTCCATATCATTACCTGACATCCTTTTTTAATATAGCTGTGTAGTTTTCCATAGTGGGGAAATACCATAGTGTACACAACTTGCATTGTTCAATATAGTAGCCATTAGCCACATGTTGTTAAGTGCCATCGAGTCGGTTCCAATACATAGTGACCCTTGATAGGGTTTACAAGGAGCGGCTGGTGTGCTTGAACTGCCAACCTTGCATTTCAAACGGCTCTGCAGTCTGGCGCATTAACCCACAGCACCACACCAGGACTCCATAAAGCTAGGTAAATCGAAATTATTTTAAATTGAGTAAAATTTAGATTTCACTTCCTCAGTCACATTAGGCACATTTTGTATACTCAAAAGCCACATTGGTTTACTAGCTACCAGACTGGAAAGTGCAGAGAACAAACAATTCCAGTATCACTGAAAGTTCTAAAGGATAGTGTTGAGTTATCCAATCCCTTCTAACTAGACACTTGATTTGTTTCCAGCCTTTAGGCATTTCAGTGATGATGAGGTGCGTCCCTGGCGTGGAGGAGGGCTGTGCTGGGAATTCTGGGTTTTTAATCTCAGAGATCACAGGCTGTGAGGCACCTGCAAGTAGAGGGCTTTGAATTTGGGGCAAAAGCTTGGCCAGAACCCAGAAAGAAAGTGGTCCCAAAGACTACGTCACCTGCTTAACCCTAACGATCTACTCTTTCTTTCCAAAATGCAGTCACGTTTTCTCGCATTTGATATTTAGCTAAGACTTCTTAAGCAATTACATGGTTCAAAGTCCTGCTCTGGGGATACAGGGACAGAAAAGATACAGTCCCTGACTTGGAGAAACCCACAGTCTGAAGGAAGAGACAAATCACTACCTGCTTTTTGACAAGGACTTTCAAAGCCACCTTACTGAAGATCAAAAAGGCTGATAATACACATCAGTGAAGATGTGAAGAAACCGGCAATATCATCCATTGTTGGAGATACAAATTGTTGTGTGTGCAAATCGGTACAAACTTTTTAGAGGACAATTTGGTGAAATCTATTTAAAAAAAATTTTTAAACCTTTGACTCAGCAATGTCACATTTATTAATTTATCTTGCAGCTGTACACATTAAGTGCAAATATATATAATAAGTTATTTCCTGAAGGCAGCATTGATTGTAGTAGCAAAAGGTTGGAAATAAATTTTAACACAACCCTATACTATATTGTAGTTGTTATTAAGTATCATCAAGTCAGTTCCAACTCATAGAGACTCATAGGGTTTCTGAGGCTGTACTCTTTGCGGGTGCAGAAAGCCTCACCTTCTTCCTGCAGAATGGCTGGTGGACTCCAACAACTGACCTTGTGGTTCACAGTCCAGTGCTTATCATACAGAGCCACTGTGATCCCATATACTATATTATTATATATATACTATATATATATTGAAGATAGCAAGGTGCTATTATTATCTCTCTCACACACACACTGCTAAATGATTTGTATATGCCCAAATTATCAGTAGATAACAGATCCAGAAATTTACATGTAAACTCTTAAGAGTGGTTGTCTATGAGGAGGTAAGGAGGACAGACAGAAGACTGGTCATATAGAAAACCATGGTTTTCATTGTACGTGTTTCCGAACCTTTTAAAAATAAGACACCAGCTGAGTATTCACAAGCAAGTAGGTTAAGGGAGTTCCTGGGAAAACTGGGTTATTCACCTTATCTCTGAGTGGCGGCATCAGAGCTAATCCTTCCATCAAAGGTGACAAGGCAATAATCCAGAAATGTCATCCAAACTGTGTGATTATATCTCTTATCACCACGGGAGACTGCGCTCTATCTTAGTTGTCATACCTCCTATGCCCAGCAGGGGGAAGTACAGACCCACAAAAGCATTGGTCCCCAACCTTGCCATAAGGATCCTTTCTAGGATTTCCTTCTCTGTTATCTCCAGGATTGGAAAGATACTTCCTTCCAAGCCGACCAAATTTATTAGGTAACAATTGATTAAACTACGGCCTCCTTCCCACTTTTTCTTTTTCTTTTTTTTTGCAAGCCATAGCTCCTATGGGCATTCAAGAGAGAATTCAAAATGACATCATCTCCCGGTTTAAATTCCTGTCAGTAGCTCTGGACAATCTGAGAATGAGGGTAGAAGGAGGACAAGGCTATCAGGGGACGGGACACTTAAGACCTGTGTGCTGCTCTAGAGAAAACCTGGGGCTCATTCAGTGAGTCCTCAACCAAGTACAACCCCAACCCCTCCAAAAAAACCCACCTATTGCCATTGAATTGATTCCAACTCATAAGGTTTCTGGGATTGTAAATTTTTAGGGAAACACACAGTCTCATCTTTCTGCCAAGGATCATCTGGTGGGTTCAAGCTTCGGCCTTTCAGTTAACAGCCCAAGGCTTATTTCACAGCGCCAACAGGGGCTACTGGGGGTCCCCACAAATTTAATGGGGCTGAGAGGCACAAGTGAAAGAAATGCAGGCTGGGGATTATACCACAGCTCAGAGTTCTAACCCCTCCCCATACTTTCTTGACCTTCTGGTCTAACCTGGAAGGAAGGGTGGGCAGGACAGCAGCTCCGGGGTAGTGTACGAAGAGTCTTGGATTCTGAAGGAGGATAGCCCAGAGACCCGTTATTGGCTGTTATTAGCTGTGTGCTTCTGGGCAAGTCACTTTTCCTCTGAGCTTCAGTGGCCCCGTTTCTAAGAAGCGGAGATCAATTTTTACTTACCCTGGCTATTGTCAGAATGAATGAGACGCCCTAGGATTGCTTTTGTAATTGACGGGCGTTTATTGTTATTCTCCAAGACCAGAGGCCACCTTAGGTCTCTGGAAGGAGGTGGGTTTTTTTTTTTTGTTTTTTTTTTCTCTCCTCTGCCTGCTCAATTCCCAGCCTCTCTGTTGTCTTGAATCCTTCCTTACCCAACCCCTGCGCTTTTCTTTGGTATCGTTAGGTGGTCCCCAGCTTCTCGCAGCCAGTCCCTTTTCATGGGCGCCCCCATACTAAAAATCACTGGGGATGCAGGCGCAGGCGCAGAGTTGGTCGAGGGTGGGACAGGTGGCGGGGTCTACGTTAGTCTGGGTTCGCGACCCCCGCCCTGTTTCGGGGTTCTCATTTGCAGATGGCTTCCACTGGTCCTCGGCTCATCTCTGGGCTAAAAGACGAGGAGAGAAACCAGGGGTGGGGGGGGCCTGTTAGGAGGCTCCAACCTTTTCTGTCGGGAACCCGAGAAGGGGGATGCATGTGTACCAATTCCGAATCACCATAGGTCATCCAGCAGCGCTTGCTGTTGCTAAGAATCTTTAATTCGGAGGTTTGCCCTCTCGGGCCTCCCCGCCGTGACCCCTTCCCCAGACCTGCCAGTGTTCCGGCTGGAGCCGGCGGGAGATGTAGTTCTAGGACCCGGAGGCGCCTCTGAGCCGGCCGCCGCCTCTGGCCTCGTCTTCGTCGCCTACCGCTCCGGCAGGTGAAGCGGCGCCGGCAGCCCCCTCTGCGACGGCAGGTGACCCGGCCAGCCGCCCCTCCCGCCACACCATGGCTGTTGGGGACCCTCGGCTAACCGGCGCCCGCCCCCTCCCTCCAGCCCGCCCCCCTGGGGCTGGGTGCGCAGCGGCGGTGGCGGCGGCGAAATGCGGTCTGCGCGCACGGGGAGCGGCAGCAGAAGTTCGAAAATCGCCGAGGGGGAAGCCAGCGCCGCAGCTTCCTGCCCCCGGCCCAGCCCTCGGGCCCCGGCGGCCTGCAGCCTGACTTCCTCCCCGCGCCCTGCAGCTCACCGCCCGGCGTCCTCGAACCGGGCCGCCGGGATGGGACGCCGCGCCCCGGCCCCAGCGCGCCACTGAGTCGAGCCCCCAGTCGCCGCGAGCTGCTGCTTCGGTCACCCTCGGGCCTGGAGCCTCGTCCCTCGCTCCCCGGAAAACTGGATTTCCGAGGCTGGAGGCGCCTGGCCGACTGGGTGGGGACCACCATGGGCAACGCGGCCGGCAGCGCCGAGCAGCCCGCGGCCCCCACTGCGTCGCTCCCCAAACAGCCCGCGACTCCCAAGCAGCCGATGCCTGCGGCGGGCGAGCTAGAGGAGAGGTTCAACCGGGTCCTGGTGAGTGCTACCCCGGCTGCGCGCAGGGCACGGGCGGGGGCTCGACACACGTCCCGGTCCTCTGGGGCTCAGGTGCCGCTTGGAGATCCTCGGTCCGGCGGCTGCCCCCCTTCAGGGGGTGGAAGTGACCGTGGCTTCCTTCGGAGTGACTTAGCACTCTCCCCCCAAAACTTTCTTCTGAAACAGACAGGTTTCCCTCCCCAAGACGCCACCGCCTCCCACCCCCTACCCCACACCTACCACCCCTGGGGTCTTGAGGTCTTAAACAAAACGTCCAGCAAGGAAGTGTAAAGCGGAGCACGCCATTGGGTATTGGGGCTCCCCCATCCGCGCTACAAGCAGGCCCAGACACTGGTGGTGGTCTAGAGCATCCGCCTCTCAGTCCTCGCGGATCAGAGACTATAGGGGCTTCACCTTAACCTCCAGGGAGCAGGAGAGGGAGTTGAGGTGTCTATTTGTTCCACATGGCTACTGGTTGTTGGGTTATGGCGACAGGGTGTCTTCCTCTTAACCCCATTTATCGCGGGAAAGTGTCTGTAGGTCATGTCTTGGACAGTACTATCCATCTATATTAAAGGGATAAAGTCCAGAAGTCCCCCTGATAGGACTGGGGGGCGGGCTGGGCTAGTCACTGGGGAGGACTCCATATGTTTAGGTGGGGCCTGGGAGTATTGGGCTGGGTTAATGGGGTGCAGGTTCATGTGGACACCAAAGCAGAGTCAAGGGATCCCATGAGGGGGGTGGGAGGGGAGGCACAAGTGGGGAGGGGGAAGGGCTACTCATTCTCACTTCCCCCTCCCTACCTCAGCCTGCCTTGCCTCCTTCTCTAACTGTTTGCTGTCTGCCGTCAGCCTTCCATTGCTGGACACTGGATGACAGGCGAATCAGGCCATGCCTTTTCCCAGAGGCCCTTCCCAGAGCAGACTGGCACTGCAGGGCAGAAGGGTGGGAGCTGTCCAAGCCTGGCAGCTCAAGTCTTCACCACCCCTCTACCTCCTTCTCCCCCACCTGCCCACCCCCCCAACTACACATTAGACCTTCTGCCTGGCCCCACTGGACACCTCCTAAGTTCCTGAAAATCTTGGCTACTGTTAACTGGCTTGATTAGGGGAGGGGAGGGCCCCTAAGGGATGCCTCACTCCAGGCTACCCCAGACTTCCCCATTTCTCCACCTGCTCCTTTCCCATCTCCCCAAACTCAGAGCCTGACCAGGCAGAGCTGAGCTGAGCAGATGGGTGCCGAGGTGGGAATGGGAGGATGAGGGGGCCATTTGAGGAGACTGAGCTGGTGGCAGGTCTGTGGACCCCACTAGCATGATGGGGCCATAGATGTCTCAAGTGCATGTCTGGGGCTGGAGGCTCTCAGGGTGAGGCCCAGACTCCACTCACTCTGTTACATACACTAATGGGGAGGAACCCTGTGAATAATTCAGATGGGTGGAAATCCACAAGCTGGAGGGCGAGGTTCTTGATGCCTGCCATGTATAGGACTTTATTGCTGTAACTCTGATTGCCTGGGTCTGACACTTTGGGAGTCGCTGAGTACTGGAGAGTGGAGGAGTGAGGCTCAGAGCTAGGTCTTAGAAATGCCCTTGTGGATAAAGGGTGGTAGTTGAGTAGACACTCAGAACAGCAGCATCTGCTGGCCTCATCCCCAGGAACCCCAATGTTAATAATACTTCACTGTCTTTCTGGGCAAGGTTCAGCCTGTCCCTTGCCCTGTTGTGGCAGGATAAACTCAAGGTCGTTTGGCTAAGAACCTGATTCTTCTCACTTGCTACCAGCAGGGACATTTGCCTTGACTTGGGGTGACAGCCTTGACCCCTGCCTGAGTCTGCCCAGGGCTAAAGATCGAGCTGAACACACAGACCTGGCAGTGGGTATTGCCAGGGAGGTCTCCATCTGACCCCAGCCACAATGGCTTCTTTGGTCCCTAGGGAATGTTTGAGAAGACCCTTTGGCTTGTTGATGGCAATCGGCTATCCCCTCAAAGTGCCCAGTTTTAATGGGAAAAATACAACCCTACTTTGGGGTCTAGTCAAATGACCTCAGAGAACCCCCCACTCCATTCTCTCAAGCTCAGCCTTTTTACCCTGGAGGTGTGTGTGACACCCCAAATTACTCCTCCTCTCCTGGCTGTGGGCCCCTCCTGTAGGTGAGGAGATTTAGGAAGCCAGCTCTTTCTTCTTCTGGCCAGTCTTGCTCTTATGGGGGTGACCTGTGAGGCTGCAAGAGTGAGGGGTGGCCTTAGTTAAAATGAGGGTAGGGAGGAAGAGCAGGTTGAGCCCGGGTTTGGGCTGCTGCCCAGCCACAGGTGCCTGGGAAAACCAGGCAGCCCCATTCCGCTCTCACCTCTCCCACGCCCATGCCAGAGGCTGGGTGGCTTCTAGTCCTCAACTCCTCCCTTGTGGGCAGGCAGGGCCAAGGATTGAGAGGGCTAGGTGCTCTTCCCAGGTTAGCCAGATGGCCAGGTATGTTCTTGTTAAGTCCCATTGAGTGGGTTCTGACTCATAGCAGCCCTGTTTGTTGAGTTTGAACCACTGACCTTGTTAGCAGTCAAGTGCTTATCCTATAGGGCTACACCAGGAGAGCCAGGACACCCCTGATTGTCTGGGGAGGGTGGAGCTGTAAACTTGGGGCAGAGGTTTCAAAGTCACCTGGTAGGGTAAAAGAAGCCCTGGGAGGTACTGAGAAAGGTGTACACAAGGCGGAGGGTGATTCTGACGCATTGGTGGGGTCTGAACCCTGATGGGGGCCAGCATTCTGGGATGTTAATCTTAGCATGTACCCAAGGACGTGGGCACTAGACTAGGCTATGTGGGGAGGATGTGGACCCTGGGTGTCCTTTCTGTGGCTGGTCCCTCCCTGTCTGGGCCTGGTAGTTGAGAAGCAGGAGCAGGTGTCTTGGTTCTGAGACTTGGGACTGAACTCCTTTCTCTGAGGTGGAGCAGAGTAAGTTTTTATGTTATGTTGTGTATGCACTTTTATTGTCGTTGAAAATATACACAGCAAAATATACACCAGTTCAGCTGTTTCTGCATGCACAATTTGGTGACCCAATGTACTCAGGGTCTTCTCACCCGCCTTTCCTGAGTTATTTTTCCTCCATGAACATAAACTCATTGGACCCTGAGGCTCCTATCTTACTATCACCGGTACGATCCCATGTAACCCACCCAAACCAAACTCACTGCCATTAACTCGAGTCCCACTTACAGTGACTCTGGGGAGGGTTTCTGAGACTAACTCATTAAGGGAGCAGACAGCATCATCTTTGTCCCCACAGAGTGATGGGTGGGTTTAAACCGTCAACCTTATGGTTAGCAGTCCAATGCTTATCCTACAGCACCAGGTCTCCTTTCATCCCATACAGGTAGATCATAAAAAAAACAGAATGCTCATTCTTGACTAGTTCGGCTAAACAATTGTTTGATTTTAGGACAACTTCAGGGGATATTTTTGGTTTAAGGTTTAAAGATGATCTCAGGGTAATAACTTCACAGGCCTACCCAGCCTCCATGGATCCATAAAGCCTGGGTGCCATGAGAAGTTGAAATTCCATTGGGAGTAGAAGAGGTTTGGGAACATGTAGCTATGGGGCCTCACTTACTCAAGGCCTGCGTGTCCCACCTCTGGGATGTCTAACACAAAGGACCCCAGAAGGGTTGTGACCATGTGGTCAAATGCTGTGCTGGGCAGAGGTTGGGGTAGTATTCCCAGTAGACAGGGCTGACACTTGTTGACCCTGGAAACCCAGGGATGTGGTGGGCATGACTCATAGGGACTTCTGGGGTTGGCGAAGAACTGGTGAGATGGGTCAGAACAGGTGGGACCACTCTCAGGGCCGCCTCTGCTTTTTTGCTGCAATAAGGAACCCTGGAAGGTGGGTCAGGCCTCCTTGCCTCTGAGCGGGGCAGGGGCGACTCAGGGGAAAAGCAAAGTAGCTTCCTAGGCTTTTGAGCCATGAAGTTTGGGGTTTGAATTTCATCTTTGCTGTTTACTACCTTGTGATCTTTAGTAAATACTTAGCCTATTTTCTTCCCATGTAAGAAGAAAGCGTTAATGGTGTATGTTGGCTTTCCAGGATTGTTGAGGGGATTCTGTGAAGTTACACTTAACGCAATGTTTAGTCCAGTCCATGTGCAATAAACGCTCTCTCCTGTGAGGAAGAGGATGATGACAAAGACCTCCCTGTCCTGGGCCCCTGTGCAGCGAAGGAGTCCAGGTTCTACCTCTCCCCTCCCTCAACTCCATTTCCAGGACCACCCAAGGTTTCTGTATGGCCCTGAGGAGACCCCATTACAGGACAGGCTGCCATCACTGGAGTCAGCTACAAGGAGGCCTAGGTAGAAAACCAGTGGTTGGAAACCACGATGGGCGAGGCCCACCTCCCTTGAAGGGTGGAGCAGCCATGGTACTAACGGTAGCGGTAGCCCGTGCATGAGGAGGGGGTGGAGAGGTCTCCACTTCCCTCTGAGAAAGGGTGTGTTGGGGGGGGGGTTCCCCAGTGAGTAAGAGCTCAGTGTGGGCAACAACAGGAAGCCGTAGGGTGCTGGGTGGCAGGAAGTGGGGCTGGCTGTTCCTGGTTCTTCAGATGGGGGAGGAGGACTGGGCTAGGCTGTCTGTAGGAGACCCCCAGAGGGGCCTAAACCATCTCCTTTCATGTTCCTTCTTCTGAGGAAACTCAGTCTTCTTACTGTTTATCTGCTAGGTCATCTTGGGCTAGTGACTTAATCTCTCTGTACCTTGCTTTTCCATTTGTGAAGTGGGGATTGTAATAGTAGGGTCCTTGTTGAAATTTAAATGAGATAATAGATGTAAAGCACTTAGACTGGGACCAGCACAGGGCAAGTGCTGTTGGGGTGTTGTTACCCTCCTCCTCCTCCTGCCAGCTGGCATTATACTGGCAGTGCCTTCTGTTCTGGCTCCCACTCTATTGGCCCTTGTCCTTGCCATGGGGACCCCTAAGCCCCAAAGGGAGAAGCTGTTAATTTTTGGTGGTTCCAAGCACCCTCTACCTAGGACTGAGTCATCCCAGAAACCCCCCTTTAAACCTAGAACTGTTTATAAGAGTTCTAGAAAATCTATATTTAAAATATTTTGTAAAAAGTAGATAAAATGGTTTGTTTTGGGGGATGCACTGAGAGCTTTAGAACCAAGGTACAGGCCCTATGGTGGGAGGAGGGGAAATGGGTGAAAGACGCAGTGGGACAGCGGGGAGAATCCTGCAGGGCTAGCTTGAGACTGGAGTTGGTATACATTTCAGAGGCATCCTGGGACTCGGAGGGCTGGGCCTCATGAAGTGGGGGCAGCTGGGTTGGGATGCAGACTCAGGTCTGCTGAAATTGAAACTGATGGGTGTGGCTGTGTCCAGCTGCAGGTAGAGCCTCTTCAGTTTCCTGGGTCCTCACTGCAGATGACAGCACTGATGTGTGTGTGTATGTCAGGGTGGCATGAGCTTTTAAGGGACTGTCTTGAGTGAGCAGAGAGTGCGGCCCCCCTGGGTAAAGTAGGGGCAGGGAAGGAGGAGAATGGTCCCCACAAAATCTAGCAGAAAGATTTGGGGAATCAGCTCCTTTTCTTGACCATACTCCAAAAGATGAATCTTATCTTCCTCTTTGACCCGAAGCACTATGAAAGGGAGTCAAGGAGTCAGTTAAGTTTTTGGCCAAGTCTTGGAAACAGATTTTACTTAGATAGTTTCATAAACTTCTGCTCCCCACTCCCCTAATCCCTAGCTTGGTCCTTTCCTGGGCTCCCTCCCATCTGTGGAATGTCTTGCACAGTGCCGAATAGCTGGAAAATAGCAATCCATCAAAACAAGATTTCTTGAGTGTCCCCAGAAGCTCTGTGACACAGGGAGGTAGAGAGATTGTGCCCATTGTATGGAGGAGTGTGTAGGCCTAGGGGGCCCAGAGCTTGGCTCTTCCTAATCAGGTTCTGGTTCCTCCAGGTCACAGCTGCCCCTCCTGCTCTCCACCTCTCTGGAGGCCTGCCCCTCCCAATCTCATCTGAGCACCGCCCCCCCCCCCCCAAGACCTCACCCTGTGCTGCTGTCTCCTTGCTGAGGGCCTAACTCTGGGGGGCTACTCCTGCTTTCCAGGATGGTCTCATCCCTCCCTGAGTGAGCAGCAGGCACCGGCCTCTCCCTTGCTCCCTGGGGTGCGTGTCCTCGGTGGGCACAACTGACAAGCAGCTACTAATTAGTGCTCAGCAGCGCTGTCAGAGTTATTTCTGATTTCTGAGCCTAAATTTAGCCTGTCTGGCAGGCTGGCATGAAGAGGCCCAGGTGGGGAAGGGGTATAAGGGCACCCTGCTCTCTGCCATTGCCCGGAGCTATCTGCAGCTGGACAGATGTGCCACTCTGTAATTAAGGAAATGTGCCCCTCCCCAAATCCCTGTAATAATCATGGATGTGTCCTGGGCATGGGGAGCAGGGTGGTGGCTCAGATTCAGCTCTGGGCTCAAAGCCTGGCTTGACTTTTACTGACTTCATGACCTTGGGCAGGTCACTCCCCCAATCTGTGGCTACAACTGTGCCCAAACCAAACCTATTGCTGCTGAGTTGCCTCTGACTCCTGGAGACCCCAGGTGTTAAGAGCGCAGCACTGTACCATAGGTTTTCTTGACTGTAGTCTTTATGAAAGGAGGTCTCTGAGGTGGCACTTGACCGCTAACCAAAAGATTGGTGGTTCGAACCTACCAGAGAGAGACCAGGTGATCTGCCCCAGCAAAGACTGTTGTTGTTGTTATGTGCTGTGGAGTCGGTTCCGACTCATAGTGGCCCTGTACAGGGTTTTCGAGGCTGGAAATCTTTACGGGAGCAGAAAGTCTCATCTTTCTCTGATGGAACAGCTGGTAGTTTCAAACTGCTGAGCTTGCGGTTCGCAGCCCGATTTGTAACCACTACGCTACCAGAGCTCCTTAAAGCCTAGAACACTCGGTGGGGCAGTTTCACTCTGTCACGTGGTATCAAGCTGGAGTCCAGTCAACAGCATTCAACAACAGTCTCTATGGACACAGAACATTTCTCCCATGGTCCTTCCAAGCCAACCCATTCTTTCATGTACTGCTGGGTAGGTTCAAACCACCAAGTCAACTTTGCTGATTGTTTTGGTGGTCTTCCATGCTATGGGAGAAGTGATTTCTGGGATGCAGCGGCCATTCCAGGAGCCAGTCAGGTTGCTGACTGGGTGCTGGGGTGGATGAGGGTCCAGAAAGACCCATGTTGAGGAGCAGTTCTCTCAGGCTCAGATGCTGGGGCTCAGTCATTCCCTTCGCTGCTCCTCTGCCATCCTTCCCTGTGGCCATCTTGTTTCTCTGTGCCGGGCCCAGTCCCAGCTTCTATCCGCTGACCCCCACTGCCTTCTCCCCTGCCTTCCTCCTTTCTCCCCTCCTTACCCCTAGGCCTTCTCCCCATGTTGCCCTGCCCCTCCTCGGTGTGTCTGTGTACTGGTGAAGCCTCAGGAAGGACTAGGAAATAAGAAAACAGAACAGCCCTAGGGAGGCCTCCTTGGCAAAGTGGGACCCTCCCACAGCTCTCAAAGCCCGCCAGGCAGCCCCTCCCTTGTCCTGTGCTCTGGTGAATGATGGGTTGGGGGAGGGTGCCCAATGAGACAGCAGCGGTTTCTTCACTCAGGGCTCAATTTCGCAATAGGGGAGATAGATGACTTACCCACAATGCCAGCTGGCCTGGGGGGCAGTGGTGGTCAATTTTACCTCTCAAGTGGGGCCATGAGCCAGAAAGTTTAAACTGAGGAACCCAGCTTCCTGTTGTCTGGGCTGACCCAAGGCAGTGATTTTTTTGGGGTGAGGCCTGGCCAGAGCCCTAGCACTAGACCCAGCAACCCAGAGAGGAAGCTGGCTCAGGCGCCTTAGGTGGGTGTGGCCCCTCTCTGCTCCAGCTGTGGCCTCATCTCAGGGCCACATGACAGAGGTGTGTTGTCTGAGGTACCAGAGTCAACAACTAGGGCTTCCACGGCTCAGGGTGGGGTTCCCACATTCCCCATGGAGACTCTGGCTTAACTCAGAGCTCCTTGAGGGCAAGAACTGTTTTTTGGGTCTGATATGTCGTAGGCCCTCAACAAACCATGGCTTTATAGGGGTAAACTGGCTTGTCTTCTGGGTCTCTCAGGAAGAGGTCTTGGGGTCTTGAGGGTCTAGGGAGTTCCTAATGTTGACCACACTTGGTTGACCTGAAGCCCAGGGCTGCGCCCGCTGTCTGCCCTGTTGGGGAGACTTTAACTGACATGCCATATTCTGGTCATCCGTGGCTGGGTGAGGGGAAAATCCAGGCAAGCTACTGTTGACCTTTCTTTCTTTGAATGTTTCATTGTGAATTGAGTGAGGTTTTACAGAGCAGTTCATCAGTTTTACATTCAACAAATCATATATGTTGTTTCATTACATTGATTCCAGTCCTCTCTTAGGTGCCGTCAGTTAACAGTATTTACCTCTCTTCGCTTTAACTCTTGCACTGTTGACCTTTCCTATCTGCTGAGGGAAATCCCACCCTGGGCCACAGCACGCCAGACCCAGCATGCTGGCTGGGAGATCCTGTGGCTGGGTGACCTTCCCCTCCGAAATCCCCTCACACCCTCCACACTCATGATGCATCTTCCTCTGTCCCCCTCTCCTCATTTCCCAAAGTGACCAGGGGGAGGGGGCCCTCTTCTGGTGTTTGTGGGCACTGTGCCCCCGGCTGGGTATATGCACACGTGATGCCTGGTAGCACATGGGAATGGGGCCATGTCCACGCTTGGCTTGGGAGCGATTCTTCTGTTGTCTTTTCACATGGGAAGGAAACCATACCCCTATATCACAAAGGGGGATGCTGGGGCCCAGAAGTGTCTGAGGCGTCTGTGATCTGGGCTGAGAACCCTGATTGCTTCCTCTACACGCCAAGTGCCAGGTGGTGATGTGGGAGTCCAGGAGCAGTCCTGGCTGATGCCATCTGAAGGTGCTCCACCGGAGAGGAGAGCGGAGCACCTGCTAGACAGCTGAGTCCTGCCGGCTCCAGGAATGTCCTGTCTCCCCTCCCCCACTTTGGGACTCCAGGCTCCAGGGGTCTTTACTTTGTCCTTCTCTCCCCAGAACTGCATGAACTTGCCCCCAGACAAGGTGCAGCTGCTCAGTCAGTATGACAACGAGAAGAAGTGGGAGCTCATCTGTGACCAGGTGAGTGACAACATGACTCTGTGTCCCTCCCTCCCACCATTGGGGTGTCAGGCTGGGGCTAGCTGGAGAATGGCCACTGCCAAACTGCTTGAGGGACTATGACCCTGCCCAGAGGTCAGGGAAGGGTGCTGGGCATTTGCAGGACTCTGGGATCCCCCTCTCTCACACATGGACATGGGGCCTCCCCAGAGAGCCTGTGAGTTAGAAGTGGGGCTGGGCTTCCTCTGCTGAGTGGGCAGGGCTGGTGCAGGGCACCGGCCAGCGCACTGAGGCCATGCCACTGTCCCCTTAGCTGAGTTTCCTGCAAGAACCTTACGTGACACTCTGCCTCAGGGTCAGGCATCTTCATTTGGCCCTACGGGAGGCTTGGAGAACAGACCTCGGGCCCAGAGGAGCTGTGGCCTCCCCAAGGTCAACCAGTTCCCAAGGAGTGGGGCTAGAACCACCAGTCTGTGTTCAGTCTGCCTCCTGGCTCACTCACTGCGCCAGCCCCTTCTGCACTGGGGCTGCTGTTTGAAGCAGCGGGATGTGATGCAGTGAGGGAAGCTGGGAGTGGCAGTAGAGGCTGGGGGTGGGGAGTTGGGGAGCTGGGAGCCTCCCCTGGGAGCTGGGGCTGGGCCTCACCTCCAGTAATGGATGGATGGGATGAGTTGGCCAGCAGGAGTCTGGGAGTGAGGACTGGGCGTCGGAAGAGGGTGGGAAGCTGACTTCAGAGGCCTGGTAGATGTAGGGGGCACTGCATTTCAGAGCTTGGGGGCTTAAAAACCTGGGAGAAACGGGAGGTTTGGAGGATGGATGGGGTACTTGAGGGGTCTGGTTGGGGAAGGACAGGAGCCACTTAGGTTAAGAACCTCCCCTGTGGTCCTGTCCCATGAGAAGCTGCTTAAGTTGGGCTGACTTAAGGGACTCAGGAATTGCTTTGTTGAATACAAATGAACACACACACACACTGAAACCCAGGTGAGCAGGACAGCTGGATGGAGTCCTGAGGAGCCCTCCTCCTGCCAAGGTGCTGGGCCAGGGATGGTGGTGGGGACTGGCCTCAACGACCCCTTCTTACAGACCCCTCTAAGGCATATTTCTTTCCCTCCAAGGTCTGGGTTGGGCTGTGGCCCAGGAAGGGCAGGGGACTGGGAGGGTGCCACCTAGTGGCCAGCTGGAGTGCCCCATGGGTGTCTAGGACTGACCTTGCATGTCCTATCCCAGGACTATGCTAGGGTGTTACCTGTGAGGACTGTTTGGGTTCATGCTTTTGGTGGTTCAGAGGGGTCTTAAGACAGCCTGGGAGCCAGGTCAGAGCTGAGGATGAGGCACTGGGGTGAAACTGGCGTGGCTTGCCTGGCTGCCTGTACACCTTAGCCCTTCTCCCCAGGAACGGTTTCAAGTCAAAAACCCCCCTGCAGCCTACATCCAGAAGTTGAAGAGCTACCTGGATACTGGCGGGGCCAGCAGGAAGGTGGCAGCTGATTGGATACCCAACTTGGGGGTATATGTCTCTCCTTTTTTCTTTGTCCCTTTCCCCCTGCACTGCCTAAGCTCTGGGCAGCCAGAGTGACGACATGGAAATGTACATGCTCTTCTGTGGGCTTGTGTGGGGACGTGTGTGTGTGTTGGCAGGGGCCAGAGAGAGCCCTAGGCATACACTTGATTGGCTCCTTGAGCATCCTATATGCACATGCATGGGGACACTTCTGTGTACTTGTGGGTGTGTACCTGGCGTGTCCTTGTATGGTTTGTTTCTGTACTGTGTGTGTACTTTTGTGTATGGACATGGATGTGAACATGTGTTTGAGTGTACTCTTATATAAAGTACATAGGAGTGTATGTTTTATGTGTGTCATGTCCATGCATATGTGTGTGTGTCCTGTGGTCCTGTACAGATGGATGCATGTATTCCCTATGTGTGTGTATTCAGGACACCTGTGTCTATTCACATAGGATATGCGGGTGTAGTTGTTTAGCTTTGTATGGACATGTGGGTACTCTATGTGTGTCTATTGGGGTCCTTGTATGTGAATGTAAATGAAGGGGCTTCAAACATTTGCAGAAAAATTCCATTATTTTTTAATTCCATCTATCCATGACTTTTTTGAAGTCCTCTCTTATTTGTGTGTGTGTGTACCTTGTGAGTGTGTGCAGGTGGGAGATGTGTGTATAGTTTGTGTGTATATACTCAGGACACCTGTGTATATGTGTGTGTACACATAGAATGTCTGTGGTGGATGTGGGTATGTATACTGAGTATGGACGCATGGGCACTCTATGTGTGCATATCTGGGGTTCTTGTATATCGGTGTATATTTGTATGTGTGTGCTCAAGGTGTCTGTAAATGGATGTGGGTTTGTACCTTGTGTGTGCTTGTATAGAGATGGGGATGAATCTTTGTGCACCTGTGAGTCCCGCGTATGGATATGCATGTGTGTCTGAATACTGATGTATGTGTGCCCTGTGTATCTGAGCATGGATGTATGATGTGTGCTTGTGTGTATTTTTTCCTATCTGAGCACGGACGTGTCTGTGGATGGGGGAGTATGTGTCGCCGGTGAGTGCTTGTTCCACTAAGCAGGTGTGTGGAGGTGGTGGGGGAGGTTTACGTGAAAGGCCATGTACCACTGTGGGGGTGGCTGCTGCTAACTGTCGCCTCAGGGCTTGGTGGGCCTGTGGGAGGCCTGGACTCCCCCCATCAGGCTGCCTTGTTCTTGGCCCCCCAGTTTAAGAGGCGAGTTCAGGAGTCTACACAGGTGTTGCGGGAGCTGGAGATCTCCCTGAGGACAAACCACATTGGGTGAGCCAGCGGCTTCCCCTCCCCTCTCCCTGCACAGGGCTGTGCCTGTGGGCATCCTGTGGGTGGGCGTCCTGCCGGCTTCCCCCTCTCCTGGCCTTAATGTCAGCCAGGCTGAGCCTCTAGCAGCCTGCGCCTCTCAGCCTTGTCTGCGGGGACTCAGGGAGCTCTGTATCCCATAGGTGGGTGCAGGAGTTTCTCAGCAAGGAGAATGGTGGCCTGGACATGCTGCTTGAGTACCTGGCCTTTGCTCAGTGCTCTGTCACGTAAGGTCCCCTGTGTCCCCACACTGCTCCTCACAGCTCCCCCTCCAGCCAGCTCTAGCTGAAGTTCTGGGATTGGTCCTGAACAATCCCCTTCCTGAAGGCCTGCCCTGGACAGGGAATGACATTCCATTGGCACACTCTTCTGTTCCGCTATGTCCCCACCCCCGCTAAGCCCAGCCGACTGCCAAGAACACAGCCTCCTCCCCACTTCAGCCTCACCTCAGGGCTGTCTCCCTTACCTCAATTCCTTCCACCCGGCTCCTAAGGGGGCCTGAAGTGCTGGCCTCCACCTCCACTGCATCGTCCCCTGCAGGTATGACATGGAGAGCACAGACAACGGGGCCCCCAACTCAGAGAAGAGCAAGCCCCTGGAGCAGTCAGTGGAGGATCTCAGCAAGGGTGCCCCCTCATCCTGCCCACCACAGTCCAAGAATCGCCACCTGACCATCAAGTACGTGCGCCCTGTGGCATACTTTCTCACCCTGCAGCCAGTCAGCCCACCCAGTACCCTGAGGTGGTGGGAGGGGTAGCCAAGCATTGGGAGCAGAGTTCTGGCCACATACACGGATTGGGTTGTGAGTGTGTTAAGAAGCCATTGGGGTGGGCACAGAGGGGTTGAGATTGACTGGGTCAGTGGGTTTTCTGGGTCAGTGAGGCCTGTTTGTACCTGTGTCATCTAACACCCCTCCCCGTTTTCTCCCATGTGGCCTCCAGATGTCCCCCTTCTCCCCGGTATGTAGCCACCTGAAGGAGGTGCATGCATGGCTGGCTTTCCTTGGGTGGTGGGGGGTTGGGTGAGACAACTGACTGAGGCTTCAGGTTCAGTAGTGGCTGCTTCAGATAGGCCACCCCACCTTACTCTGCACAGGAGATGGCCCTGGAGCTCGTATGGACCCCCAGCTCCCTTCTTTCCCACATTGAGTCTAGGGGACCACCTTCACATTAAGCTCCAAAATCTCTTAATGTTCATTCATTCATTCATCAAATTTTTTTTTTTAGCACTGTGGCAAGTGCTCAGAACACAGATTTGCTTATAATAGGGGGCTCATTGTCTAGTGGGGGACGATTCAGTGTGGCAGGATATTACAGATCTGCGATGTGACTGGGAGCATTGGGGAGGGAGGTGGCCATGGCCACCAGGAAAGGAAGGCTTCCCAGAAGAAGGGACAATGAAACTGTGACTTGCAGAAAAATAGACTTTACAGGCAATCATGAGGGCAGGGAAATGAATTCCAGGCCGAAGGAACTGCCTGGACCAAATCTCAGAATGTGTCAGGAAGATGGAAGACTTAACAGGGTGGTGGTAGGGCCTTCCCAGTATTGTTGGAAAGACGACAAAATTGTCGAAAGGGCCAGACATGTGGAAGTCACGGTCAGCTGTTCTGCTACAGTGAAAACATCACACATTTTTTAGCAAATAATAGTTGCACACACTTGTAAAGAACTTGTGCCACGCAGGCACTGTTGTAAGCATTGAATACATTTACTCATTTTACAGTCCTCAAAACCCTATCAGGAAGGTATGATTATTACCATCCTTATTTTACAAATGAGGAAACTGAGCCCAGCAAGAGGAAGAAACTTGTCTAGTAAGTGGGGAAGCTGGATTCAGACCCAAGTACAGTGAATTCCGAACCTGCTCTCAAGATCCAAGTCCAGGTGTCTGTGAGCAGCACCACCTTGTGGAGAGCCCGTCCATCACTGTTTCCAAGCTGTGGCTGTCTTTCCCTCCAGGAGCTCTCTACCCCAGCAACACAGCTACCTTATTAGTGCCATATTACTGTTAAGGGTATTTGCTTCCTCTCCTCCCCACCGGCCTCTAGGGGAACCTCCCTGCCCTCAGCTGGCCTCTGTTGGGTAAATGGGCGGTAGTGGCCTAAGGTTTCCAAAGCCATCTGAGGGATGGGGGAATGGGAAGTGAGGGCTCAGGACTCTGATCCAGCTGCCTCCCCTCCACCCCACCCTCAGGTTGACCCCAGCCCATAGCAGGAAGGCTCTGCGTAATTCCCGTGTTGTCAGCCAGAAGGACGACGTCCATGTCTGCATCATGTGCTTGCGTGCCATCATGAACTACCAGGTGGGCTGGGGGCATGGAGCCTGGGAGTATCCAAGAGCCAGGCCTGTACTTACTAGGGGCAGCCCAGGCTGAGGAGATTCTAGGACCAACTGTTCCCCACTCCACTGCCCACTGGGAAGCCCTGGGAGCCAGGCTTAGTATCTTGAGGTTGAGGGGTCTTGAGAGGAGGCCTCCTTGTGGCCAGGGCTATGGATGTGCCTCATGTGGGGGCATAGATACACTCTCCAATGAAAGCTGGAGAGCAAGGCCTGTGAGTAATTTAAAGGAGTAGTGGTGAAGTGGGTTCTCCTTTACTTAGCCAGCCTTTGGGACGCAGTGTGTTCAAGATGCTTTAGAAAAGGCAGAGGGATTTAAAAAGAGGGACAGAGTCAGGCTTTGGTTATAGCAGAAGAGCGTTCGGTTGAATATAAAGAAATTTCTAAGCTTGAGGGCAGTTAGAAACGGGAATAATGGTGTGTCTCCTCTCTCCCCAGTCTGGCTTCAGCCTTGTCATGAACCACCCTGCTTGTGTCAACGAGATTGCTCTGAGCCTCAACAACAAGAACCCGAGGTGAGGTCCACGTTCCTCCTTTCCTTAGTCTGTTGTTGTTGTGATGTGCCGTGGAGTGGTTCCAACTCATAGCCACCCTGTATTGGGTTTCCAAGGCTGTAAATCTCTATGGGAGTAGAAAGCCTCATCTTTCTCCCACGGAACAGCTGGTAGTTTCCAACTGCTGACCTTGTGGTTCACAGCCCGATTCCTAATTACTACATCTAGACCCTCCTGTTTTTCTCCTTTGTCCACGCTGTCCCCCAGTTCTCTGGATTACTGCCTAGGTTCAGTCTCCCCCTTTATGCCCTCCCAAACCTGGCCCCTTCCTCTCACTGAGGAGCCCACCATTAGCTCCCCTGTCTTCTCCAGCGTCAAAGAGCTGCCTGTTTTCAAGGACAACCCACTCCTTCTCTCCTCAGAACCAAGGCTCTGGTGCTAGAGCTGCTGGCGGCTGTGTGCCTGGTGCGGGGGGGTCATGACATCATCCTTGCAGCCTTTGACAACTTCAAGGAGGTACTAAAAACCAGCTCTCCTACCCTAACATGTACTTGTTCCTATGGTGGACTTGTGGAGTCCTATTGCTAACAGTTGTTGGCTCTGTTGGGGGGCAGCCTGGGGACATTGGGTGGGCATTTTGGGAGTAGGGGGTGGAGACAGTCTGGGATGGAAAAGTTTTTAAGGGGACATGCAGGACCAGATAGGTGCATGTCTGGTTTCACAGGGATTACTGCAAAATCTGCTCTACCTCTGCTTTTCAGCTTTGTCAGATCCACACAGTACTCGATCCACATGTACTCGTACATCTGGAGTTGTTGAGTAACAAGTGTAGGAGAGACGCATGAGCTTGATACACACAATGGGATTCATTCATTCACTTCATGAGTATTACTGACAAACCTACTGTGTGTCTGGCCCGAGAGCAGAGACAAAGCAGGGGGAGATGGATAATAAGTTATGTAACAACTAAGTAAATTTTACGTAGTGTGTTAAAAAATGATCAATGCTATGGGAAAGGAAACTGTGCGGGGTAAGAGCAGACACACTGGTGGGGGCACGAGGAACTGTTTATAGGGTCAGGGAAGTCTTTGTTGAGGTGAGGTGTGAGTAACTGTGTAAAGGAAATGAGGGTCTTGAGGCAGGGCTGTCTCAGGTAAGAGCACTCCCGGCAGATGAAGAGCATTTGCAGAGACCCTGCGGTGGGTGGTGGGTGCGTGTCAGGATATAAATGTGGCCAGTGGGGAGTAAGTAAGGGTGACAGCAGGAGGGGAGATGGAGAGGAAACGGTGGGTTGGGCTCTAGGATCAGATTCTGTAGGGCCCACTTGCCTTGGACCTTGGGGTACTTTGGTTTGGCGTCAATCTTTAGGCAAGTAGAGCACAATCTGGCAGCTGACCAGCTTTGGACAGTTCTGGAAAGGGGGTCCTTGGAGTGCTGGTGACAGTATCACTGCTAGAGTTCTGTTCCTGTTGTTGGTGTGCTGGAGTCAGTTCCAAATCACAGCGACCCTGCACAGGGCTTCCGAGGCTGTAAATCTTTACAGGAGCAGAAAGCCTCATCTTTCTCCCTCAGAATGGCTGGGAGTTTCAAACTGCTGACGTTGAGGTTAGCAGCTGGACTCATAACCACTATACTACCAGAGTTGTTGGTATATTTGCATATAATTTACATAGATTTTCCTGTTGAACCAATCTGTCATCACCACCTGAAGGCCACAGGGCCAGATCTGGACCTCCTCCTAGTACTGCAGAGACCAGTTTCCCAGGCTTGTCTCTGATCCAGGGATGGCCTTGGGGGCACAGGGACAGCAGGTAGCCGCATTATGCTGGTGAATGCAGGGGCTCTTCCCTAGATCCTGCCCTGTAAGAATGCAGAGTCCTAGGCAGGTCTGGGGCTTAGTCACTGCCACTTCCCTCCACCAGGTGTGTGGGGAGCAGCACCGCTTTGAGAAGCTGATGGAATATTTCCGGAATGAGGACAGCAACATTGACTTCATGGTGAGCTCAGGAGTCCAACTCCAGTTGGCTTAGGGACTGGGCAGGACCACTCTCTGGAGCAGGGCACAGCTAGGGGCCTGGGTATAAGGGGCTAGGTCCTGCCCCTGCAAAGTGTGAGGACTGAGTGGTCAGTGGGGGAAGGAGGATGGTGGAGAGCGGGGAGACTTGGGAGTAAACGAGCACCCCCACCCAGAAGTTCATCCAGTTGTTCGTGTTCCCTGTCCCTCAGGTGGCCTGCATGCAATTCATCAACATTGTGGTTCATTCAGTGGAAAATATGAACTTTCGTGTCTTCTTGCAATATGAGTTCACCCACTTGGGTCTGGACCTGTATTTGGAGGTAAGCCCCATACAGCCCCAGCCTTAACCACTCATTCCAGGTCTAGTATGGCTGAGAGGCTAGAAACATGGACATTAGAACCATGCAGACCTTGGTTCAAATCCTGGCTCTGCCACTTTCTAGCTTCTTGACCTTGGATTGGCTTCTATGCTCTGAAACTTAAGTGTTCTCATCTGTAAAATGGGAGAACCACGAAGATAATAATGACTCGAAATGTGTCAAATACCAGGCACATAGTAGGCAACGCATCCAGGGAGCTGTTTTTATAGACACTGGATCAGGCTTTAGGGAGTCCAGGGTTCTGACTCTGATGCCAGAGAATGATAGGGCGTGCAGAGATGCCGGATTGAAGTGGTAGCTGGGTCCAGGTCCTGGAGGGGAGCTTCACCCTGGGGAAGGTGCACAGAGGAGCTTGTGCATCCTGGCCCAGCCTGAACGGAGTAGCTGCAGGCTCTGCTTCCACTCCTTTGGGATGCTTCCTGGAGGGGCCTGGGCTTCGGGAATGGGCTTTTTAAAGCCAAGCAGAACAAAAGGTGAAAGGCAGACTAGAGTGGTCGATCCATACAATGGATGCTACTGTACCCATGAACCTTGAAAACATGATGCTAAATAAAAGTAGCCAGACACAAAAGGCCATGTATTGGATGATTGCATTTATCTGAAGAGAGTCCTGGTGTGGCGCTGTAGGATAAGCACTGGACTGCTAACCACAAGGTCGGAGGTTCAAACCTACCAGCTGTTCCTCAAAAACCCTATACAGTATACAAAGGAGCTCTGGTAGTGTAGTGGTTACGAGTCAGGCTGTTAATCTCAGGGTCAGCAGTTCAAAATTACCAGCAGTTCTGCAGGAGAAAGATGAGGCTTTCCAATGAAAAAAACAAGACACACACACAAAAAAACCCTATACAGGATTGCTAAGAGGCAGAACCAACTCAATGGCACTTCAAAACAATAATTTATATGAAATGTTCAGAATAGGCAAATTCTAGAGACAGAAGGTCAGTTAGTGACTGCCAAGGGCTGGCGGAGGGAGAGAGAGGGATGGGGACTGACTGCTAATGGGAATGGGGTTTATTTTGAGGGTGATGAAATAGCCTGATTTTAGATTGTGGTCATGGTTCTAAAGTCTTATGAAACTACTGAAAACCACTCAATTGTACACTTTCAAATGGTAAATTCCATAGTATATGAATTATGTCTCACTTTAAAGAAACAAAGCAAGCTAGGGCTCAGACTCCTTTCTCTGGGTCCTCGTGAGTGAGGGGATTGGAAGGACTGTCCCCCTCTCTCCTTTCCCACGGTCCTCACCCTGCTTGTTCTGTCTGGGGACAGAGACTGCGGCTCACCGAGAGTGACAAGCTACAGGTTCAGATTCAGGCATACCTGGACAATGTTTTTGATGTGGGCTCGCTGCTGGAGGACACAGAGACCAAGAATGCAGTGCTGGAGCACATGGAAGAGTTGCAGGAGCAGGTGGCCACGGTGAGAGAGGCCTGTACCCACTAACGCCCCTCACTGGCTCTATGTGTGAATTACAGCCTGGCCTAAATCCTAAAGCTTTAGGGGTAATTCTCAGTGAATGTTTCTTGAGCTTCTACCGTGGACTGAACCTATGAGGAGGCAGTCCCTCTGCTCTCCTAATGTGCAGGTCCCAGGCCCTGGCTGATGGGGGGAACTGTGTGCTTGGATCCTCCCAGGTCAATCTCCCCTCCACCACCTCCCTCATTAGCGATGCATTGCTTCTCCCTCCTGAGAGCACGTTAGTAATCACAGTGCCTTATCTGGGTTCAAGTGCCAGGCTTGGGACAACCATAGCACCCCCGGCTGAGCGCATCCGGGAGCCTCCCCCACCCCAAGCCCTCCAGGCAGGCATGCCTGGGGCCGCCCCCTCGCTGGCGGTGCCAGTGCCCGGCCGCGGGTGGGAGCTCACCAAATGTGCCGGTGCTACAGCTGACAGAGAGGCTTCGGGACGCGGAGAACGAATCCATGGCCAAGATTGCCGAGCTGGAGAAGCAGCTAAGCCAGGCCCGCAAGGAGCTGGAGACCCTGCGGGTGAGTCTGGAGGCGTTGGGCAGGCGGGCAGGCAGGCAGGCGGGCGGGCGGGCGGGTCTCCAAGGACAGACCACTTGGGACTGCTAGGCTGACATCTCTCTTCACCCAGGGAGGAGGATGGGGATCTGGGTCATGGGGCCTGCAGGTGATCAACTCCCCGGGGCTTGCTTACAGGAGCGCTACAGCGAGTCGACCTCCATGGGCGCCTCCAGACGTCCCCCAGAGCCTGAGAAAGTGCCTCCTCCCCCTGTCTTGGCGAGGCCCTCAGCCCTGGAACTGAAGGTGGAGGAGCTGGAGGAGAAGGGGTTAATCCGCATCCTGCGGGGGCCGGGGGACGCAGTCTCCATCGAGATTCTGCCGGTCGTTGTGGCAACTCCAATCGGTGATGTCTTGACTTGCGCGTTGCCAACCGGTTCCCCTAGCCCAGGTACGTAGCAGCTTCACACTGTGGACCCGGGCCGGGAGGGAGAGCCGGGAAGACTCTCCGGCGGTGCTGAGGGTTGGAGAGAGAAGCTTGGCATGTGGCCGTGGCTCAGGTGTGTGCGGTGGCGAGAATGGGCCCAGTGCCCATGGGTGGGGCCGTGAGACCACCAGTATAAGAAATTGACACACCTCCTCCAACCTCCTGGCCAGGGTCGGATCTCACACCTGCAACAGAATCAGCTCCCGGAGCAGCGCCCCCACCACCACCGCCACCCCCACTTCCAGGTCCAGCTTCCCAACAGGAAGCCCCGCCTTCGGCGCCTCCAGTGGCACCGCCCCTCCCTGGCAGCCCGGACCTCCCTCCGGCTCCGCCGCTGCCGGGAGACTTGCCACCCCCACCACCGCCACCGCCGCCACCCCCCGGCACAGATGGGCCTGTGCCGCCACCGCCGCCACCGCCGCCGCCACCGACTCTGGGAGGCTCCTCTGATGCCCCTGGAGCACCAGACTCAGAGATGGGTCCAGGTGAGTGAATTGATGTCCTCTCCCTGGGAGACTCTTAATGCCCAGGTTCTTTCCAGGTCTCTCCTGCCACGCTCTGTGCTTACCACTCCCTCCCTGCCCCAGGAGTGAAGGCCAAGAAACCCATCCAGACCAAGTTTCGAATGCCACTCTTAAACTGGGTGGCCTTGAAACCCAGTCAGATCACAGGCACCGTCTTCACGGAGCTCAATGACGAGAAGGTGCTGCAGGTGCGTGTGTGTGGCCTACCTTGCCCCAGTGTGGGCACCAGAAGGTGAGGTCATTCACTCCGATCTTGCTGGGGCCCCAGTGGTCATCCCTTCTACCCCCTTTCCTTTCCATTGTGTGTTGTTGTTGTTAAGTGCTGTCGAGTCGGCTGCAACTCATAGAGACCCTGTATAGAGTTTCCAAGGAACAGCTGGTGAGCTTGAACCACCGACCTTACAGTTCAAACGGCTTTGCAGTCTGACACATTAACCCACAGTGCCACACCGGGACTCCTTCCTTGCCAAATTCTAGTGAGGGAGTGGGGTCTGGGTTGCCAGAGATGGATGTTCCTCTTCTGCCTCCGTGTGCCCACGACTTCCCTGTAACCCCAAACATGGTCTTTGGCCAAGTTGGGTCCCTGGTGTATTTGACTCACAGTAGTGTAGCAGGCCCTACCCAAGCCCACTTCTCCCTGGTTCCTCAGGAGCTGGATATGAGTGACTTTGAGGAACACTTCAAGACCAAGTCCCAAGGTCCCAGCCTGGACCTCACTGCCCTCAAGGGCAAGACATCCCAGAAGGCCCCCACCAAAGCAACTCTCATTGAGGCCAACCGGGCCAAGAACCTGGCTATCACTCTGCGCAAGGGGAACTTGGGAGCTGACCGCATCTGCCAGGCCATTGAGACGTGAGTAGCTTAGTGCTAGGCTGGTAGACAGCCTAGCCCCTCCACCAGGCAGGACTCATCAGGTGGGTCCTAGTCGAAGAGCTTCAACCCCTGGACAGAGTCCATCAAGCCTCATAGCAGTCCTGGTCAGGAAAGAGAGTGGGGAACTGTGTACCATTTTAAAGACCTGAGTACATGCCCAGGCTGGGATGTCCTTACTCCCTTGCTTAGCGGTGGGTGCTCAGGCCCAGGTGTTTACAGCTGGGCAACTCCTCCTCGGGATTGTGAGTACTGAAGACTTTTCAACTCCTAATTTCCCTTGTTCCCCGAAACTGTTAGCAAATGGCAAATATTGCAGTTCATTTATTTAGTCAAGGAGGGAAGCAGTTCTGCTCTCAGGAGTGGGTGGGTGTGGAGTGACACCCCACTACACATACAGGTATGACCTGCAGGCTCTTGGCCTGGACTTCCTGGAGCTGCTGACACGCTTCCTGCCCACCGAGTATGAGCGTAGCCTCATTGCCCGCTTTGAGCGGGAGCAGCGGCCCATACAGGAACTGTCAGATGAGGACCGTTTCATGCTGCGTTTCAGTCGAATCCCACGATTGCCTGAGCGCATGGCCACACTCACCTTCCTGGGCAACTTCCCAGACACCACCCAGATGCTTATGCCGGTAGGTGTGGCAGGGAGATAGCATGGCCTGGGTGGGGGCTAGGGAGGAGGCAGCCCCAGTCTGGGCTCCATCTGGGAGTCTTAGCCTCCTGGGGGAGTTGTTCCTCCAAGTGACCTTGCCTCCCCTCCCCACATCCAGCAACTGAATGCGATTATTGCTGCCTCCATGTCCATCAAGTCCTCGGACAAACTCCGCCAGATCCTGGAGGTGAGAGGCCAGGCCAGGGTCCTGGAAGTGAATCCCTGCCTATTCTGGGGGCTATGAGAGGGAGATAAACTCTTTGCTGCATAGCTAGATGCAACAAAGATGGATTCCCCACCTCTCATGTCCATGCCCCCTGATGGTACCTCAGGTAGAACTGGGATATTTCTAGTTACATCGCTGTGTGTCTAATGGCACCCTTAAGACCTTGCCTGAGGATTTGGCCCTTTTGGAGACTACATCTGTTGCTGTTACTGTCGAGTTGGTTCTGGCTCATAGGAACCCTGTACAGGGTTTCCAAGGAGCAGCTGGTGGGTTTGAACTGCTGGCCTTGTGGTTTGCAGTGCTAATCCTACAGTGTCACACCGGGAGCCCTACATCTGTTATTAGGGAACCCCAATCACACCTGCTCCATGGAGAGGCAAGGAATCATTAGAAAGGGCTGTTAGGAAGGTGGCCCTGCAGCCTAGGAGGAGGTGTCAACAGCAGTGTTGGGTAGGAGTGGCAGAGGACCGACCACACTGCCAGCCATTTACATGTGTCAAACATACACAGACATGTATTGCCGGGGACCAGCCTCGACAAATTATTAGGAGACTCTTGAAGGAGGATGTGGAGTCGGCTGAATGAAAAAAATAAAAAAATACTCAAAGAGTCAATGGGTCATTTTTGAGTCTCAGGCAGATGATGGTAATGATGACTCTCTCTGATGACTCTCTTTATTTCAACAATTGTTGCTTCTTAGATCCCTTTTTAAACATACTATGATCTCATAGCAGTCACGTACAAGCAGTACAAATCAATCAAATATTATATTGTTACATCAACGGTACAAGAGGAATACAAGGTCACTGAACATTCCTGTGTCTCTATACTCCTTAGTTACTCCTTAGTTACCTTGATAACGTCTGCCTTCTGTGAGCGACTCTGTTTCCCTCTAATCCTCCCTAAAATGTCTAGTTAATATTAAACACAGTTCTACATCTTAATTTCTAACTTTACCAACATCTATTACTTTCTATAGATTCATTATTTACAGATTACAATCAAAAACATAATCTTTACTATATTGGTCATACATATAATTGAGCAAACAATAAAAACAAGAACATAAAAGTACCCTAAAGTTTCATAGTTAAGAACAAAGCAGTAATTCTCTCATGCTAACAATTTCTCAAAACTTCTAATCAAACCCCTACCTCTGTTCCCAAGCTCTCACTGCCCTTGACTGTCTCCTAAGCTGCTTTCTAAAAGCCTTAATGTCCTTCACTAAAACCACCTGGAATGTTTCTTACAATTTTAAGCTTGAATTGCTAAAACTTTTAGCTAGTGTGGTTATTTCTAATGTTAAAACTTATTGTTAATGTAAAAATTAATTTTTATAACTATATAAGATTGAATATGGTGTGTAAGTTAATGTTAATGTGAAAGGCAACTATTAAAAGTATCTAATGATCATGCAAGATTTTCTAAAACTTCTTATAAGGAAATCAGAAACAACTATTTTTCCAAGGGAAAGCTAGAAACCGCGGGTCCCCTGCATGAATCATCCCTTGTAGCTCTGCTAACCAAGGGGGCATTCATTGTTCTGCTAAACAATGAACTTTTCATGCATAAGGCTTATCGCTGTTTGCTCCTTGGCAGGATGGCGTCTGCCAATGTATGTGTATGTCATGGTCCTGAGGGGGTCCATGCAGGAGTGTAGCGGGGCCTGAGTGGGGCTTGCTTTCTGATACCTTTTCTTCTTGTGCTATTTGTACTGAAGTGGAGGGGGTCCTCAGCCTCAGGACCCCCCTGAGCTCTCTCCCACCCTTCCAGATTGTCCTGGCCTTTGGCAACTACATGAACAGCAGCAAGCGTGGAGCAGCCTATGGCTTCCGGCTCCAGAGTTTGGATGCGGTGAGGGGGGGCGAGGAGGAACCCCTGGCCTGGGGAATGAGGGCTGGTTGGTGGCCGCTAGCTTACGACAAACCCTCATGTAGTTATTGGAGATGAAGTCAACTGATCGCAAGCAGACACTGCTGCACTACCTGGTAAAGGTCATCACTGAGAAGTATCCCCAGCTCACAGGCTTCCACAGTGAATTGCACTTCCTGGACAAGGCCAGTGCAGGTATGGGGCCCTCGGTCCTTAGGTGAGGGGAGGAGCTCCGTTCTGGGGGATGCAGGATGCCTGTAAATGGGGTGGGAGTGCTTCTTTGACTCCCTGCCACTGTACTGCTCCACTCCACCCAGTATCCCTGGACAGCGTCCTGGGGGACGTGCGATCCCTGCAGCGAGGTCTGGAGTTGACACAGCGGGAGTTTATGCGGCAAGACAACTGTGCAGTGCTTAAGGAGTTCCTGAAGACCAACACACCCACCATGGACAAACTTCTGGCAGACAGCAAGACAGCTCAGGTGCTAGGGCTGGGGAGGCTGGGAGGATGCAGATATACTGGGCTCTGGGTGGGGCATGGCCCCAGATAGGACACCATATGGGGAACGAAGCTCCTCTTGGTCTAGGGGAGCAGAGATGAGGTGACCAGTGTCTTGCAGGGGTTGGTGAGGTACTGAGCAGTGATCAGCCTCCGAGGGGGGGTCTATGCTGGTAGGGCTGATGGGCTGTGTCCACAGGAGGCCTACGAGTCCGTGGTGGAGTACTTCGGGGAGAATCCCAAGACCACATCCCCCTCCATGTTTTTTTCCCTTTTTAGCCGCTTCAACAAGGCATACAAGGTATGTATGTCTGGGGGGGCAGGCTGGGACCCATGCATGTGGGAAGGGTAGGGCTGTTTCTTGGGGGTGAGATAGGGAAATAGTCTGCCCTCATGGAGACCCTCCTCGGCCCCTCAGAAAGCTGAGCAGGAAGTGGAACAGTGGAAGAAAGAAGCAGCTGCCCAGGAGGCAGGCATTGATGCCCCCAGCAAAGGAGAGCCCTCAGTACCCAAGGTAGGTAGCAGCCCCTCCGGAGTTGTTACAGTATGGACAGACTCTGCCCAAGGTGACGGTGGTGGCCCAGAAGCCCAGGATGGAAATGGTTGTCCTCTACTCAAACCAACTGCCCTTGCTGTGGGGGACCAGGCAGATGTTGTAGGGCTTGGTGGGCCGGGGGAGGACGCTGAGCTGGAGCTGTGCACCCCCAGTCCCCGCCCAAGGCCCGTCGGCAGCAGATGGACCTCATCTCAGAGCTGAAACGGAAGCAGCAGAAGGAGCCACTCATCTATGAGAGTGACCGTGACGGGGCCATTGAAGACATCATCACAGGTGACAGCTCTGCTGGACCTCTGTCCTGTCCTCTGTCTGTCCTTCTGTGCTGTCCTCCACCTGCGGCCCCCTTCCAGAGGGGTCTGACTGCCTCACTGCCTCTTGCTACTTTTATTTGGTCTTTTTTCCTCTCTCTACCTTTCTCCACCTTCCCCCAATCCTCAGTGCTGAAGACGGTGCCCTTCACTGCCCGCACCGGCAAGCGGACGTCCCGGCTCCTCTGTGAGGCCAGCCTGGGAGAGGAGATCCCCCTCTAGTCCCCCCACCCCCACCCCAGGTACCCAGGCCTAGCTTCTGACCCCATTGGCTTTCCCACTACACTAGCCTTTTGGGGACTGGCACCTTGCATGGTAGGGGTGTGTATGAGGGGAGTTTCGTACACATAAACAGTGTCCCTCCCACACTCACACAACCTGGGTCCCTAGAAGGATGAGACGTGTGCTCGGGAGTGGGGGAACTAGCGCTGGGCAGTCTCCTGAAGGCAATAGTGTATTTTTTCAATTGCTAGATCTGCGGAACCAGCCGTACATCCGCTCGGACACAGGCCGTCGTAGTGCACGCCGGCGCCCTCCGTGCCCTCCCCTGCAAGTCACCTCCGACCTTTCGCTGTAGCCGCTATTCCCGATGGACTTTGCAGGCGGGGGCGGGGTGCGGGATGGGGAGACCTAGGTAGGCAGTTGTGCAAGGAGAGGTGGTCCTCAGCTCGGCTGGGCGGTGCAGTCCCCTCTTCCTCTCACTGTGCGCCGGCACTTCCCTCTCTTGCCACCGGGGGCTGCATCGCAGGTCTCCTCGCATATGCTGCTTGCAGCACTCCTCCTCACCCCAAAGCCATACTTAGCCCTAGCTTGGGTCTGGCCTATAACTTATAAGGTACAATCTCGCCCCACAGCCTGCCCCTGGGGATTCTCCATGGATCTTATTTTTGTACAAGATGAATAAAGATGTTTGCAAAAGACGCGCGTCCTCGCCACGGCACAGACTGGTTTCGTCACTCAGGAAACACTTTACTTGTACAAGTTCTTCACCGTGGGCCTCTGCAAAGAAGCCGGCGGAGGGGAGAAGGGCTGCTTCTGCACCAGAGTTGGCGGAGAGGGAGGCAGCTTCAAGGAGCGCCAACATTCTAGTGGCTGCTCCGAGAACCCTGCGGGGGGAGAAAAGGGAGGGAGTATGCTGTGGTGCCTCCTGTGGATTAGCACTACCAAAGGACACTGTGCACCTTGCCCTTTCCCTAAACCCTGTTTCCTGCCTCCCTCCAGTCACTCCCTCACCCTCAGCTTACTTTACCTGTCTCCCGTCCCCATTTCTTCAGGTTCTGCTCCCACTCCTTGCCAGTCCCTCCTCTCCCTACCTATCAAGCCCATCTGTCCGCACTGCCTCTACAGGTCCCTATTCTTCTGGACCCGCCCCGTCTGCAAGCCCCACCCTCCACTCCACAGGCCACACGCCTATTCCCAGACGGGGCCGTCCTGCTCCAGGCTTCCCCGCCCCTCGTTTGCGTGACCCATAGGCCCCGCCTCCTGCCTGTTCTCACTTAGGCTGATCGGCCCCAGGATGACTCGGCCCTTAGGGCGGCTGGGCTGGTAGGGTTGTGGAAGTGGGAACTCGGGGCGCGGCGCTTTGTTCCTGGTCTTGCGTTCTGATCTCGTCCGCAGGGTCAGGTTCGGCATCTGAGAGTAGGGGCTGCGCGCACCTGCGGAGGGACAACGGAGAGGATCCCGAGGCATGGGTACTGGGTGGAAGATGATTGGAAGGATCCCCTCCTTCAGGCTCCACCCCGCTCCTGCTACCCTTCCGGCGCCCCGCTGGGGGCGTACCCGCTTTGTGCAGTTTGTGCAGCGAGCGTGCGAGCTGAGCAGTGGAGAGGCCAGTGATGCGCGCGGCCTGGCAGTAGAAAAAGATGCCAGTGCGGACATGCGGGGGGCGGCTGCGGGGTTGCCCCCTGTAGCTTGGGTTCAGCTTCAGACCCCGTTGCTTCTTGGAGTAGTAGCTTGAAGGTGGAAGGAGGTGCAGTTACCTTAGGAGCTGCCCCGCCCCACCCTTTCCATCTCAGAAGGGGTGAAATCCACCCCCTTCAGCAAGACAGGAAACCTGGGGCGAGTTGGGGCCCAGGGCTTCCGTCTCTGAGGCAGCGTCTGTTCCCCGCTTCCCCGGCCTTGAAGGTGGGTGTTGTCTGCCCACCTCATCACCTCCTGAACTGACTTGGAGGGCACAGCGCCCTGGCTCAGCAGCTTGAGCAGTATCTCAAATAACAGGGTCTGCAGGCCCTGGGGGTCAAACAGCCGACTATTTCTCACTCGTCCTGGGAACCGAGCATGAGGGTGTGTGTGAGGAGGGACCGCCCAGGCCAGGCTCCCCACTGCCCTACCAGCCTTGTCCCTCACCCAAGCATTGAGCGAAGCGGTGATTGTCAGTGAGGACACCCAGGAAGTCCTTGAAATTCACAGTGCCGTCACCTAGGGGTAGAGTGTGGTATGGTGCCTCCCTGAAGAAGGTCTGCCCCCACACCACTTAAGGGCTTGCTGGCAAGATGTGAGTTCCAGGAGCTATAGAATCAGGTCTTGTCTCTAGCCAAGGGGAGACCCCAGTTTGAGTGGAGCAGAACTAGCCCTTGCCTTGGGAAAGCCTCAAGACAAGAGGGTAAACACACTGCCAAGTGTTTAGAAGCCATGGGTGGGTTTCCTGGAATAGGGAACTTTAAAATAGGCTCAGGCCAGGGATTTTGTGGGTCAGGGAGACATGCTTCAGGGCTGAAGGAGGGAGAAAACAAGAGGATAGGGATGGGGCGCCTACCATCCAAATCTGCCTGCCGGAGAGCCTCACACATCTCCTGTGGGCTTAGTTGGATGTTCACTTGGCTCAGGGTAGCTTTCATGCTACGCATGTCCACAGTGCCTGCTGGACTGGAGCTGAGCAGTTTGAAGATATCCTGGAAAGCTGAGGGCAGGGAGGTGGGTAGGCAGCAAAGTGAACCTCACATAATGGGAATCGGAATCGTGAGATCTGCCTGCTCTAGTTTACTAACAACCCAGGACATGGGTCACTTCAACCAGCCCCTGCCCCCTCCCATTGTACTTTTATTTCAAAGAACAGTGGCTGTGTCCACTTTTAGTTGTCCACTCATTTAGCCCATGTCCATGGCTGTGCCACCTGTGAGGGGAAACGCTGGGGTTTGGAACCCACAGTCTGACTCCAGAGCTACATAACTCTCCATGTAGCCAGCACTGACGTTAAGGAACAAAGTGATTTTCATTTGAGGGGCCCCTGCTAATAACAGGACATGATTTTTGAGGGGCATTTGGGCAGTGGCTCCTTCCGCTCCCACAGCCACAGGCCCCTTAAGAGGACTCAGTTTTTTTTTTTGTCTATGCTTCCCTTCCTTTCTCCCTCTTCCTTCCTTCAACTCTGTTAACACATTTATCCATCCACCCCAAATCTTCATTCATGCATTCTCCCATCCATCCTGTACACACACATCCTCTGAGCCGTGCACAGCACTGGACTCTGGACTTCTAGATGACTGGTATGGAGGAAAGGTTAAAATCTAGTAAAATAATCATTGGTTTCCTGCAGTGACCCCAGCCAAACTTAGAATGCTGCCCTGAGCACCCCGTATGTATTTTTTCAGCCCTCACCTGCCAGCTGCTCAGGCGTCAAGGGCAGCAGGTTCTCGTCTGTCGAGCTGCCCCATGAGGAAGAGGTTGGAAAGACTTTTGCACCAGACAGGTCTTACCCCCAATGCAGTACTCTGGGTCTGACCCCTAGTCCCTGCCCTCACCTCTGAGACCTCATGCTTGGGTTTGGTTGTAGGGGATCGGTAGTCATAAATCCCTTAAACTTCCTTGCCCACTGTGTGGGCTGGCCGGCCCCTGTGGCCCTGGCCACTGTGGCTGGCTCCATTGGGGTCAATAACTGCAGCCTCCCCTTCTGCACCCTGTCCATCTTCTGCTCCCCTGGATCTCGCGGGAGTAGTCTTCGAGGCTTCTGTGGAGACCTTGGGAGAGGGGAGAAGACAGGGCGGAGGGACCCAGCCCCCTCTCCCTGCTCAGACTCTGGGGATCTGCAGGATCCCGGACCCAGGCTGAGCCCATAGTCCTCAACCCCAGGGGGCTCTGGGGTGGGGCCAGGGCAGTGTCCCCCAGGATGAGGGACGAACCCTTTCCAGCCCTGTCACCTGCACTTTCTCTCTGGTGATGGGGTTTTCTTGGTCTTCTGGCCACTGCTGCCTGGAAGGCAGAGTCACAGGCTCTGAATCTGCTCCAGGACCCGGGGGGCTGCAACCCAGGCTGTGTTGTGGGTTTAGCATTTTTTTGGGGTGCACTCTCTCATTCAATTAGGTCCACCCCTCCCTGCTGGGGACACCTGCTGCTTCCAACCTTCAAGTTTCTGCCTCCCTTAAACACCCTTGGCTCCTGATGCTAAGTCAGTACCTCAGAAGTTCTGAAAGAGAAAAGGCCTGAGTCCCTCACAAGCAAGCAAGCCAAGGTCACGCTGTAGGGGTCCCTACCCCTGCTCCCCTAGGGAGGGAGGATCCCCTCCCCCAAGCAATGCAAACTCACAAACCAGATTTTAAAAATATTGCAGAGGATGTCCCAACAGCCTGAGGGGGCTACTAGTTCAGCCTCTCTAATACCTCAGCATCTCCTCTTATCTCCTCTTCCAGCCTCCTGCCCTCTTCTCCTTCTGGTCCCCCCTTACTAATCCCACTTCCCCACACTCTGCACATCACTGTCCTTAGCCCTTCCCAAGGCTGGGCTTTCACTTAACAGGGGAACTGAGATCCAAAATGTGTACTGAGTTGACAAAGCACTGAGCTCCTTCCACCTTCTCCCAGATTTCCGTCTGCAAGTCAGTGTCCAACCCAGCACCGTGTGTTTGTATGCTGTGTGCACAGTTCTTGTGTGTGCATGTGTTTAAGTTGATGTGTATATGTACCGTTGTGTACATGTATGTACATGTGTGTACATGTGTGGGCATGTGTCTGGGTTACACATGGCTGTACACCATTACATATAACACTCTCCTACATTTTGGGGTATCTCTACTCAGTCATACAGGGCCAATACCACAGACAGCTTCTTTCTCCCGTAAGCTCCTAAACACCATCCCTTCCCCATGCCCAGGCTGTCAGGGTGGAGAGAAGCAGAAAGAACTCTCTTCACATATAACTTGCCTTCTCGGCCACCTAGCCCCACCCCCCAAAGGACCACCTCCTCAGGTGACCTTGACACAGAAGCTCCATTTCATCGTCTGAGGAACCAAGGCTTCAGAGATGGCACTAGGGCCTTCCCCTTGGCTAGTCTGTAGCCTTTCCTCCTGGCCTAGATGACTGAGCAGGTGTGTGTGAAGGGGAGCTACCCCGGGAGTGAGCAGGGCCAAAACAGATGGCAAGGGACAGGAGTGGCAGAGTCCTCAGGGGACAGGCAAGGCCTCTGGAACTGGGGTAGATAAAAATGGGGGTGGCATCCCTAAAAATGTCAGGACCAGGGCTCTGTAGCCAGGGGTGCTGGCTTGGTTCAGGAACACGTGCACAAAAGCTCTGAGCAGGCAGGCCAGCACTGGAGGCTTTACTGGTTTTGTCTAGTCATTTCTGTGGGGAAGAGGGGGATGACAGCTTAAAATGGATTTTCAGCAATAATGGATTCCCTTTCTTGGTTCCCGGCACCGAGCTGCAATGCAAAAGAGAGAGTGTCACTTGGGTCCCAGTGGGAGGCTGGTGGGGGGAGGGGAGAGCCTGGAGATCTCCTGAGGGGGGCTCTGGGGTTAGAGGGTCTCCTCCTGTTATACCCTGAAGGGTAGCTGGCTTTCTGCTGTGTCCATTCATCACCAGGAAGCAAGGGTGCTGGAAAACCGCATTCCTCCGCTCTCCCCAGGGCTGGAGGAATCAGACTTTCTCAGGATAAACTCTAGTGCAGACATTTTTGATGTGGGCAAGGCCATCTACCTCCTGGGTGGGAGGCATCCTATTGCTAGAATGGTTCTTCCCACATAGAGCCCAGCTCCCCACCCTTGCCCTGCAACGCTCACCCTCCATGGTCCCCAGCCCTCCTCTGGCCCTGGCCTTAGCACTGCTCCACAGTCCACTGGAACCTTGTTTCCAGCAACCTTTATGAGGTCACTGAGGTGGACACATCACAGCCCTCCCCAGGCCCTGCCTTGCCCCTCATGGTGCTGTTGCCCATTCCAACCCCTGTGTGAGGAGTGGGGGGCACTACATGCTCTAGCACAGCCGTGGCTTCAGGGCTGTTTTGGGGCAGGCCCTCACTTACTCTTTTCTGTTTCCCTGAGGCTGTGGAGCCAAGGCTGGTGGCTGGAGAAATTTGACTTCCCCTTCAATGGTGGTCCTCTTGACCCCAGGCTTGGTGAAGCCCAGGCAAGCACCAGGGAAGGTCATGCCTTCCTTCTTACAAACTTTCTGAGGTTCTCCAGCTTCAAGTGGTTTCTCTGATGGCTTCTTGGGTGGCACCTCAGGGGGCTTTTCCAATTTCAGTTCTTCCCTGGTGGGCTGGTCAGCAGGTTTCTTGGTGGGCTCTGTAGAAAGCTCCATGGCTTTCTGGGAGGAAGTTTTGACCAAGTGCTCCAAGTTTGGCAGATCCTTGCTACTGGATGCCATGACCAGGGAAGATGCAAAGTTGATTAAGTCAGCCAAGCCAATGGCTGATGGGAGATGAGAGGAGGAAAGGCTTGACAGCAGTGTCTGGGAGCTTCTGGCTGAAAGAGCTCCCGGGGTACTGGAGCTCTGAAGCTGCTTCTTTGAGCACAGAATGTCTTTGGCAACAGACTTCTGGTCCATGCAGCTAGAGGTCAGTATGGCTGTGATGGTTTTGCTGGGCTCCAGGTCTATTGCCCTTTCTATGCTGTGCTCTGAGACCTGAATGTGCTTCTCTGCCCAGAAGAGATGCTTGGAGGTCTGCACATGGATGGAACGGTAGTTGTCGGATACCTGCTTTTCCTCCATGGGGCCCAGGTGGCTGCTATAGTTTGACCTTAGGTTGCACAGGTCATACATCTGCTGTTCAATGGCTTCGTCGCAGGAATTCAACTCTAGTTCTGTGTCTAGTGAGGGCTCAGGCTTGGGACGGAGTACTGTGAACTCTGGTTTGATCTCTAGGTCTGCCTCCAGCTCTGGGTCCAGGTCCATGTCTGGGTCCACTTTGGATGCTGATGTCTCATGTTCTAGCAGTTCAGCTTCCAGCTGAAAGGGGACATCTGAAAGCTGAAGAAGCAAGAGCCAGAGGCCCCTGCCCCGGAGGCCCCCCTCCACACTGAATACTGCTTGTTTTCTCCTCCACACTTGCCTCTTTAGCAGAGGTCTTCTGGGTAAGGAGGCAATGTGGACAGGTGATGAGGATGGGTGTATATAAGTGTGCCCACATTGGCCTTATGCCAGGGTGGCAAAGTTATTAAGGGTAGGGGCTGGTCATAGTTAGGGAAGACGGATCTCAAATAACCTTACCTCTGCCTACCACCCTCTCCATAAGAGGTGACCCTGCCCAATGTTACCTCCATATCATCTTCCTCTTGTGCCAGTTGGGACTCAAACAGGTATTGGGGCAAATTACTCCTGAAACAGAAGGAGATAAAGAGATGACAGGACTCTATAGGATGGGTGGGGTGGCCTCAGCAGAAGGGGAATCTCTGGGCCCCTCAAAGCCTCCTGCCTTGCACAGATGCCCCCGACCTTATTTTCTCCTGTGGCTGCCCCACCCTCACCAAGAATTCTAGAGTGGTCTTCTCAAACCTTAGTGAGTTTAGGAAGCTTGGGGGAAGCTTATTATCTTATTCACCTCCTTGAAAGGGGGCTTCAGTTGGTTGGAGGTAAAGCTCAGGTATCTTCATTTTTATAAAGCATTCCATGTGAACCAGTGCCACAGGTTCTCTTAGCTCACTTTGAAAACCAGTGCTCAAGAAATGGGTACGTGAGGAATTTGGCAGCATTAGCAAGGGGTAGGAAGGAGCTCTGCTAGCGTAGTGATTATGAATCAGGCTGTGAACTGCAAGGTCAACAGTTTGAAACTACCAGCTGTTCCACTGGAGAAAGATGAGGCTTTCTGCTCCCGTAAAGATATACAGCCTCGGAAACCCTGTTCAGGGTGGCTATGGGTCGGAACCAACTCGATGGCACTTAACAACAACAACAACAGCAAAGGGTAGGAATCTTGGTGGGGCTCTGTAGGATAATGCAATGGAACACAAGATGGGTTTGAACCACAAGGTTGGCTGTTCAAAGTCACCAGCCACTCTGTGGAAACCCTATATAGGATTGCTATTTGTTGGGACCGACTTGACAGCATTTAACAACAACAGCAGGGTTAAGGTTAGGAGTTCTGGAGGGTGGGGTGGTGGTGGGAGAAAGGTCCTACAATGATGGGAACGCTGTTCTCACTGTGTATCGATAATGTCCACCGACTTCTTGCTACAGCAGGGAAATCCATTGGCACCTGACAGGGAGAAAAAGTAAAGGCAGGGAAGCTGCAGGGCAGGCCTGGGGACACCCACTCTCCTTCTCTGTCCCTTCTTCCCTATCCTGCCCCCTCCTCCTCTACCCCTCATGAGAGGCACTAGCCGTATCTTCCATCAACTCTCCTCCACTTTTGTCTTTCCTCCAACTCTATTCCTTTGCAGTCCTCCATATGGACTAAGAGTGACAGTATTAGGTCCCATCTCTTCAATGCTGCACTGAGCACTTTGTGTGCTTTACCTCTGATTTGACACAAAAAATGAGAAGAGGTCCATTTGCCCAAATGGCACTGTAGGATCAGTAGTCGACTGCAAACCACAAGGCTGTTCAAGCCGGACAGCTGCTCCTAGAAACCTTACACAGGGTCACTAGGAGTCAGAACCAACTCGACGGCACTTAACAACAACATTTGCCCAAGGTCTTATGGTTGATAATTGCTGAAGTCAGGACTTAATCCAATAACTCTTAACTTCCCTGCCTGGTTCGACTGTCCTACCCATCACCCCCCAAATTAACCTCTCTCATCTCTGTCCCCTTTCTCTACTCTTTCTGACAGGTACCACATCTGCTGTTTACCTCCCATCTAGCTTCTCCCACTCTGAAGCCCTCTCTTCTCCAGGCTTTTCATCCCATCATACACTTGAAGCCATCCATCCTGAACTCTGGGCCAAGACCCTCACCCCAGGTGCTTGGTCTGAGGTGAGCTCAGATCATCCTCTGCCAAGAAGAATGAGCAACTCTTTGAAAGAGGCTGTCCCATCCCAGTCCCTTCCTCAGAGACTTGTGTCTTTTATTGCAGAAGCGTCTCCTTCATTCCTTAGGAGTGGGAGATACCAGTCTATCCCATCCTCTGCTCCCCAAGGTATGGTCAGGGGTTGGTTGTGAGGCATCATGACACTGCTGGGTTCCCATGTGCCCTGGGTTTGGTAGGAAGTGACAGTCTTGGCTGGGAAGAATTGCTCATTCTATCAGAGGTACCAGGATGTCCTGTAGCCTCCACATAGAGGTATAGAGGCTGGGAAGGGGTTCTTGCATGGCTGAATTAAGATTTGGACATGCCCAGAAATGATAAAGTAAAAGAGCTGAACAGAAGATTTCAAAGGGCAGCTCAAAAAGACAAAGTAAAACTTTATAAAGGAATGGTTAAAAAAGACAAAGTAAAACTTTATAAATACCTTGGTGTTAGAAAACCCAAAGGGAAGAACATGCTCTGCATTTCTCATGCTGAAAAAAACCAAAGTGAAAAAAATTCAAGCTTCAAGTTGCAATGCTGAAGGATTCTACCGGCAAAATATTGAATGGCACAGAAAACATCAAAAGAAGATGGAAGGGATCTACTGAGTCACTGTACCATAAAGAATTGGTCAATGTTCAACCATTTCAGGAAGCGGCATATAATTAAAAACCAATGGCACTGAAGGAAGAAGTCCAGCACTGGCAAAAAAAAAAAAAATACAGCTCCAGGAATTAAAGGAATACTAATTGAAATGTTTCCACAAATGGATGTAATGTTGGAAGCACTCACTTGTCTATGCTAAGAAATTTGGAAGACTGCTACCAGGCCAACTGACTGAAAGAGATCCATATCTGTGTTCATCCTAAAGAAAGGTGATTCAACAGGATAAGGAAATGATCAGACAATATCATTAGTACCACATGCAAGTAAAATTGTGCTGAAGATAATCCAAAAAGAGTTGGAGCAGTCCATTGACAGAAAATGACCAGAAATTCAAGCAAGATTCAGAAGACATGGAAGAAGGGATATCACTGGGGATGTCAGATGGATCTTGGGTGAAAGCAAAGAATATCAGAAAGATCTGTGCTTTATTGACTATACAAAGTTATTCGACTGTGTGGATCACAACAAATTATGAATAGCTTTGCAAAGAATGGGAATTCCAGAACACCTTTAATTGTGCTTATGTGGAACTTGTACTACCTCTTGGTAGAGGCAGTTGTTTGAACAAAAGGAGGGCATACTATGTGGTTTAAAATCAGCAAAGTTGGTGTCCAAGTTGTATCCTTTCTTTATGCTTATTCAGTCTGTATGCTGAGCACATAACCTATGAAGTTGGACTATGTGACGAAGCAAGTGGAATTAGGACTGGAGGATGATTTATTAAAAACCTGCAATATACAGATGGCACAACCTTGCTTGTCAGAAGCGAAGAAGACTGGAAGTGCATATTGTTGATGAGCAAAAACTATAGCCTATAGGACGGATTACACCTCAACATAAAACAAAATCCTCCCAACTGGACCAATATGCAAAATCATGATAAATAGATAAAAGACAGAAGTTGTCAAGGATTTCCTTTCACTTGGATTCACAATCAATACTCATGAAAGCAGCAGTCAAGAAATCAAATGACATATTGCACTGGGCAAATCTGGTGCTAAAGACCTCATTAAAGTTTTAAAAAGCAAAGACGTCACCTTGTAGACTAATGATGCATGTCCCAAGCCATGGTATTTTCAATCACCTCATGTGCATGTGAAATCTGGACAATGAATAAGAAAGACTGAAGAAAAATTGATGCATTTGAAATGTGTTATTGGCAAAAAATATTGAGCATGCCATGGGCTGCCAGAACAAAAAACCAATTTATGTTGGCAGTAGTATAGCCAGGTCCTTAGAAGCAAGGCTGGTGAGACTTTATCTCATGCACTTTGTACATGCTATGAGGAGGGATCAGTCTCTGGAAATGGACTTCATGCTTAGTAAAGTAGAGGGTCAGCAAAAAAGAGGAAGACCCTCAGTAAGATGGATCAACAGTGGCTTCAACAGTGGGCCCAAACCTAGCAACAATTATAAGGATGGTACGGGCCCAGGAAGCATTTTGTTCTCTTGTACACAAGGTCACTCTGAGTCGGAGCAGACTTGGTGGCACCTAAGAATAACAATAAGATGCTTCAGTATTCAGTATACCAGTTTGGGCCTGGAGGATCTTGGATCTGCCGGGTAGCTGGACTGGGGCGGCATCACTCTGCACAGGCTCCCGAGTGGCAGCTCAGTCATCTCTTTACACTTTTCTACCTTGACCACCATGCTCCTTGCTTACTTCTTCTTCATGTCTTCCACCTGCCCTGAGTGCTGCTATTACTCAGGCTTCTGACCTCAGAGCCTTCCTTCGTCTGCTTTACGTTTCCCTGGGCAATTTACACAGCATTCGTAGCCTCAACTCCTGCATAAACAGCAACTGGATATAGACAGGAGAAATGATTGTGGCATCAACTAAGGAGTCCGTGAAAATATCTGAGGTTGATTCCACTTGGACCTCTGTGCCTGACTTGGAAAACTTTAATAGGGATTCCAGTGACATTCTGCAGTATTTGAAATCATTGCAATTTCCAATTGTTTGTTGCTAGTGTATATTGTTTGTTGTTAAGTGCCGTTGAGTCGGTTCTGACTCATAGCGATCTGTTTAGGGTTTCCGAGGAGTAGCTGGTAGGTTTGAACTGCTGATGTTGTGACTCACAGTCCCACAAATCAAGCTGACATTAGTTCTAGCAGCATTTTTTGGGTAGGATTTTCTACATAATCATGTGAATCATGATAGTTTTGTCTTCCTTTCCTATCTGTTGTTTTAATTGTTCATGCCATCAAGTTGGTTCTGACTCATAGCGATCCAGTATAGTGTTTCTGAGGAGTGGCTGGTGAGTTTGAACAGCTAACCTTGTGGTTCAAACCGACCTTGCAGTCCTGCGCTTACTCTACTGCCCCACACCAGGACTCCTTTCCTATCTGGATGCCTCTAATTTTTTTGCAATAGTAACAATCTTTAGTACAATGTTGACTAGAAGTGATGAGCAGACATTCTTACTTTGTTCCTTGTGTTTAGGGGAAAAGATTCAATTTTTCACCATTAAGTATGTTGTTGTTGTTATTAAGTGCTGTTGAGTCGGTTCTAACTTAGACCCTTTATAGGGTTTATGAAGGAGCTCTGGTAGCATAGTGGTTACGAATCCGGCTGCTAATCTCACAGTCAGCAATTCGAAGCTACCAGCTGTTCTGCGGGAGCAGATGAGGCTTTCTACTCCCATAAAGATTTACAGCCTCGGAAACCCTGTACAGGGTCGCTATGAGTCGGAACTGACTCCACGGTACATAGCAACAACATAGGGTTTATGAGGACCAGCTGGTGGGTTTTAAACACGACCTTGTAGTTAACAGTCCAGTGCTAATCCTATAGTGCCACATCGAGAGCTTTTTCCATAGATGTGCTTTATCAGGTTGAGGAAATTCTTTATTATTCTTAGTTTGCTGTTTTTAGTTAGGATTGGATGTTTATCTTTTCTGTATTTATTGAGATGCTTGTATGATTTTTCTAATATCTTGTGGGCCTGGAGTTTCTTTGTGGGAAGGTAGTGTAATTACAAATTAAACAAAACAAAACAAAAAAAGATACAGAACTCCTTAGATTGTTTCTTCTTGAATTTGTATATTTAAGGAATTTGTTTCATCTCGATTGTAAAATTTATTGGCATAAATTGCTCCTAATCCATTATCCTTGTCATATCTGTGAAGTATGACCACAGGAGACTTTCAAATCTCTATTTCTTATTCCTACTGTCCCCTCAGTTCCAGACGCCAGTCACTAATTGCACATCGGGGGACCTCATATTCACCTTGCCAACACCACTGCTGGGGCAGAAGCTGTCTCCTCTCTCTGGAATGCTTCTCAGGGCTCACCTCTTCCTGGAGACCTTCGGGTCTTAGATTCAAGGCTTCTCTTCCAGTAGCCCCTGCCCAACTCCATAGCCCTCTCTCTGGGCACCAGGCCCCTTGTTGACCCTCAGTTAGAGTGAGTAGGGTATATGGGTGATATCCAGAAGAGTCAGGCTTGAGGTGAATGCGTAGCAAATGTCTTTGCAAAGGAATGAATTTATTCTCTCACCCTGCCAAACCCTGTTGTTCCTCCTCCATTTTTCACCTCTAGTTCATACTGTGTCCAGACTCTGGCATGGCCAACACAGTTCTCATGCCTCACCCCTATTTTCCTTTCACTCTTATTCCCTCCTCTCCCTGTCTTGCCCCGACTGACTTATCTTTTATCCTATCACCCAATCTAGAAACCTGGGCTCTTTGTTAACATCCCGGCACTTCCCCAGCTCCTGCCCCTCCCCTGATGTCGATCTTGTACACATGCACCCCTCTTTCCACTCCTTTTCTTCTTCTAATACAGAGTCAATACAGACCTGGGACTTACTGCCCGCTGGCACTTGGTGTTTAATTTTATGCAACTAATCGGCACTGACAGCCTATGCACAGGCAGTTTCTCCTCTCCTCTCATGGAAGAAGACACCACACAGTTATGAAGAGCAGGGTTACTGCCTGGTCTGACAGGCTAACCACTACACTGTCTGTGTGAAATCTCTTTAGGCCTCCAATGCAACCACGTTCCCCTCTAACTTGACCTTCTCAATGACCCCAGAGTCATTCACACCTGCCTCCATTCAGGCTCAGCCTTTAGTATGGCCTTGAAGACTCTGCCTGGTCTGACCTGTCTTATCTTTTGATATCCTAACTTTCTACTCTTTGCCCCAAGTCCAAATCACCCCTGAACACAGAAGACCTTATCATGGCTCAGTGCTTTTGCTATTTCCTATACCTGGAAAGTCCCTCTTCGGACAAAATGGTGCCTGAAAGCCCAACTCAAATCTCTAGTGTCATCTGTGACAAATACAACAAATCTGCATTTAACTGTGAAACCAACTCATCAGACTCAGGGCCTCAGGGTTCAGCACAAAAATAAGCCCCATGGGGTGTAAAATATGTCAAAGAGCAATTTCAGGTACACAAGAGTAAGTCTGTTTACCCGTTGAGTTTGAATTGGGAGGAAAATGTTCTCTAGTTGTTGATCCTTGGAACATTTTAAACGCTGGTCTGTGACTTCCTGTGAAGGTCCCAAGAAGAAAGCCCCCATTTCGATGGGGATCAGAACCCATAATGGAAAAGGGGAGATCCTGAGGGGTAACGCTACATTTGTTCCTTGATGATCTTAGCATAGAACAGTGCAAGGCACAAGGAAGAGCTCAGTATTTGTTGAAAAATGGCGCCTCCCTCTTGCAAAACCACCAAACGTCAACCAGAGACAATGGAACACGATGTTTTTTGATGTTCTGCAGTTTGGGATAATTTATGGGTTATTTCCTGAGCACAAGTCATTACCCCATCCGGGGGCCTAAGGCCCCTCCAAGAAGGTGCTGAGCCTCCGCCTTTATTATTTTGTGCACACGGTGCCGGGAGGAAGCTAGGTGTGGAAATCAGGCACCAGCCGCCCACTCGCCCGGCAGCATGGCAGGGGTTTGGTTGGCGAACCCCCTTTCCAGCACATGGCACTGGAAGAGCCAGCGGAGCGGCCCAGTTGATTCACCTCCCCGCCCTCTTTCACTTTCCCCGCCCCTGGGCCCCGCCCTGCCGACCCTCAGGGCCTGCCCCCCGGGGCCGCGGGCTCCCACCTGTCACCCCCATGACGACCGAGGTTCTGTAGGGGAGGCGGGGAGCCTGCTGATGGATGCTGCCCCTCCACCTCCAGTGCGCTCTTTGACTAAAGGTTGTGGGGGGCGGTGGACATGACAGGGGCGTCGGCGCCTGTGATGACCCCGCCTCTGTGACGTTTCAGCCGCGACCCTGCCAGCGGTGGCCGAGGGCTATGGAAGGAGGCAGCAGGACGGGGCAGCAGGTCGGTAGTGGTGGGTGTCCTCCTGGAAAGGTGCCCCTCACAGCCCTGCATGGAGAGCCCTTTTCTGAAGACCTCAGACTGCCCTGCCCATCAGCAGCAGTTTTGGCCATGGTAAGCAGGGTACCTGGGGCTGCACTTTGCTGGGGCACCCTGGGCACAGGCTGCTTCCCCTCAGTGCGGGGTGTGGACATGTGCCCAGTGCACGCATGGTGCACAGAGATTCAGGGTGTTGAGCCACACTAGACAAAGCACTTGTGTGCCTGCTGGCATTCCTCCTCACAGGCCCCAGTTCTGACCAAACCCCACTCCTGCAAGGCATCTGGGTGGGAGTCCAGCCTCAGCTAGGGTCAGGAGGGCTGGCATAGTGTGTCCTGGGTATGTGGTCTGCACCCCACTTCTCCATGTCTGGTCAGTGTCTGCAGCATCCCTTCCTTCTCCCCAGAGTCACCAGGGTGTTGGCATGCTCCCAGTGTGGACTGGCAGTGTTTGGGTAGGGCATCTTACCCAACTGGTCAGAATGGAGAGCCTGCAGAAGGGAAGGCTGATGGGAAGCACTCACCCTTCAAGACTGAAAAGTTTTTGCTCAAAACAAGGGGCCAACCTGAAGATCTCTCCAAGGTGACCAGAGAGGGCAGTGGTGACAACCAGGTGTTCAACAAGCAGCAGGCAAAAGCAGAGACCCCCACAGCCTAAAAAACTCTTGTTGTCACTCCAAACTTTATTGCCTATAGTTCTCTACAACCAAGACTCTGCAGTACCAAGGCTGCAGCTATTTCGTGTCAGGGCAGGGGTCTCTCCCTGGGTAACAGTAAGGCTCAATGTGAATGATTAAATACACATCACTGTGCCAAGACGTGGAGACAAGTTTCCTAAAACTTGGTAAGGTGCTGCTCCCCAAGGAGGCGCTTCAAGAGACCCCCCCACCCCCACCCCACGATACCAAGAGGTTGGGGCTAGCAGGCCCCTCACCCCTGGTGATTCACAGTTGATTTAATGCTACATGCGTCCTGATCAACACCCCTGGGCTGGGGTATTGGAGAGGGGGGCTCATCTTAGAGACATCTAGAGGCTTGAGGGGTAACATGAGTGCAGACAGGTCAAGAATTGGGTCCCTTCACCCTGCCTCCGGGTCACTACTTGTGCTTGTGCAGAGCCACGGACCCGCCCTCCTGCAGGGCAGCCATGAAAGTGCTTTGAGGTCAACAGAGTGCAAAGTGCAGCTGGCAGTGCCCGTGGGCAGGGAAAAGGTGGGTGTGAAGCCCAGGCTGCATCCTTGGGGAAGATGGCTGGGTGTCAAAGGTCTGACCTGGGCAGCAACTGTCGCTGCTGTCTTTTGCATCTATCATGATACACCATCTGAGTCAAGTGGGTCTTGTTTCCACCCTTCACTTTTACAGATGAGGGAACTGAGTCGGGCAGCGGGGGCTCTGGAGACCAGGATGGCCTGCTACTCTGGGAAGGAGCAGGCCAGCAGCAAAGGGCATGTGCTTGGGGACTGAGAATGATTCCCCATAAACAACCTTCTTGGTTGAAACCAAGTTCAACTCAGACCATGTGTTGTACCAACCTAAAAAGCATTGTGGGAGCTCCTGGGGAGACTGCCTAGTGGCCGGGATTCCTTCCTCCCTGACTTCATGCGAATAGTTCTAAATGTAAAAGGGGGATAGATGGCCAGAGGCACCCCATTAACCCAAGGGCAGCCACACATCCTCTTCTGATTTGGAACTGGGCCTGAGTGGCCCTTAGACACTGACTTAGACTGCCCGAAGGTTGAGGAGCCCGGGGGCTTACTCACTCCCCAAACCAGGTTAGAAGCCGCTCTCCTCTGATCTAAACAGGCCAGGCCAGCTGGTTAGGGCCCTGGGCAGAGAGCCCTCTTTGTTCCTCCTCCTCTTCACGTGGGCTTGGCGGGGTCAGGCAGGACTCAGACAGGAAATCCTGGGAGGGGGTTGCTAGTCCCACTCTGCGGCTGGTCCCACCACTGAGCCAGGGGGTGGCAGGTGCCTGGGAGCAGGCTGAACCTATGCCTCAGGAGCAGCTCCTAGCCACCAAGAAGGCAGGGTTTCGGCAGAGCAGAGCTGTTGATGGACAGCAGAGCTAGGACCTATTCTCCAGCCGGCCATGCTTGATCCTCCAGCTCCAGGCAAAGCTGCTGTCAGGGGCCAGAACGCATTGCAGGTCGATGCCCGAGTCCGGCACCTCCATGTCATAGCGCACCGGTTGCCCATCCTTGGTCACCAAGCTGAAGGCTGCAGTGGGGATCTGGAGGCAAAGCAAACCAGTGGGCCTTAGACAGTTGGCATGGGGTTCAGAAGTCACCCAGAAATAGAAAGCTGATGGTCCCGTACTGCCCTGGGAGACCCATCTCACTCCAGCCAAGCAGGTAGCCCTGAAGGCATTACCTGCCTTTCATTGTGGAGCACTGAAGAAGCCATCTGGTCCCAGTGAGGGTCCTTAGGACCCTCAGTCACCACTGCCAGTCTGGCCCTGAGCCCCCAGCTCTGGGGAACATAGAGTGCAGTTTCTATTTATTGAAAAGTCTTCCTCCCAGAGGGTTGGGCCAGGCCCCTGGCCTCTAAGCTGGTGGGACCTGTCCACTCACCTGGCTGCTGATGCCCGTTGCGATGTCTCCCACCTTGACCCGGTGGAACTCCCGGATGTGCAGGTGTTCACCATTGAGGGACTGTATTTGGACTTTCACACCTGGTAGGCAAGGTGACAGTCAGGAGGCGGAGAAACCTGCTGTTACAAGTCTCTGTGTGAAGTGGAGGGAAGCTGGCCTGGCTGAGATGAAGCTGAGAGCAGTCAGGCTGATGTGGCCTCGGGTTACACCTGCTAGCTCGTGCTGGCGGTTTTCTGTCCACCCTTAGAATCTGGCCTGTACTTGGCAAAGAGCTGAGATTGCCTTTTATGGGGGAAGTTATATTCCAAATTGGACACAGAGTGAAAAGGAACTGAAAACAAAGATTCCGAAATTAGATTGCGGCCACTCAGACTGTTCTGTTCTTTGAGCTGGAGCAGCTCTTGTGAGGCCATGGGGGCTTCACGCCATGAGTCAGTCACACTGGCCCCTGTTCTGTCAAAATCACAGTATGACCTATGCAGCCAAGCCTGAAGCTAAGAAATTAATGTTGTTTTTCTCATATTCTGACCTCAGATCCCAGAGGAGGATGCCAGGATGGCCAGCTCATGGCATCAACACACTAGAGCGGAGTGCATGCCCAGGACTCCTGTTCTTCCTTTCCTTTCAGAAGGTGCTAGATGGCCAGCTTCCTTCCTCCAGGTCAGGAGAGACTTCTTTCCTCCCCGAGCCACGCTGACTTCACCCACAGCCGCTGAGGGGACACCAGTTCTCCTCTGCCCCACCAACAAAGGATCCTGGGGAGTCAGGGCCTTCACCATAAACCCAACTGATTAGCCAAGCACCTCAAGAGCTGGATGCCAGATGCCTCCCTCGCGTTTCCCCATTGTTCCAGAGGGAGCGGGGCATGTCCCTAGCGGCAGATCAGGTGGGGGTTGCTGAGCAGTTAAATATGGCACTGACCATTGAAATGGCTTGGGGTGTCTGTGGGCCGCCCCCGGGCCAGCACCATGTTCCAACTGGTGCTGCAGGCCTCTGCTTGGCTGCTCCATGAGTGTACGCCAGAACTCAGGGTGTCTCGTGAACTCTGAGAGGCCTTTGAAGGGTTCTGAAAGAGCAAGGGTAGATGCAGACTCAGGCCCTGGGGCTCAGGGAGCCATCTTTGGCTTTGGTGCTCTCCTGGGGAAAGGAGCTGCCCCAGTTCTCGGCTGGAGTACAGCTCTACTGGACACTTTTTGATATTCAGCGGAGGCTGAACTCATGGAGGGCCTGGGGGAAGACAAATAAGGAGTATTTCTAGGGGGCGGGACAAAGTCCATCTCCAAGCGATCCCCAGTAGCTAAAGCCATTCCCACACTCTCCAGTGTGTTCAAGATGGATGACCTCACCGGGATAAACCACGAGTCCCCCTCAGCAGTACCCCCTCCTTCCCTTTATTCACTCCTTGCATACTGTCCACTTACCCCCTGGACACAAAGTCACCTGCTCGGTGCCAGAGCCAGGAGACCCACACCCTGGCTCCTGACCCATTTGACTCACCTTCTCACTGTCATTTGACAGGGACAGGCTGTCGAAGCTAATCCATGACAGGATCTGCTCCTGCTCCTCCAGAGAAAATGTCTGAGAGAGACTGTTCAGAAATAATTCTGCAGGAAAAGCAGAAGACAACTATGGAGACTGGGAAGGATCTTGCTCTGAAGTCAGGTTCTTCTTGGACGGAAACCAGTTGGACCCAGAGGCGGTGGCACTGGCCTCGGTGGGAGGCCCATGATCAGTGCTCCGGGGTCCAGAGGCCCAAGGCTCATACCTATTTCCAGCTGTTGCAGTTCCTGCTCCGGGAAGGTTGCTCGGCGCTCTGGTGAGCTGGGGTTTGGAGCAGGGGTAGGCTCTAGGGAGGACAGAGGTAAGGGCTCCCACGTCCCAGACTCCTCCTTGCTCAGGTTCAGGGTTGGAGACTTGTTCGGCTCAGGGGGCTCTGGTGGCAGAGGAGGCTGGAGCTTAGGAGCCCCACCTGCAGTGCCCTCCGCTGGTTGGGGGCTCGGGATTCCTGGTGCGAGGTCCCTTGGCTGGGCACGCAGGGTCTGATGAGAGTTCGCTTGGTTTGGCAGCAGATGTCTTGGTTCTTTATATTCTCCCCTCCAAGGGCTCTTCAGACCCCCGACTACAAAACAGAGAGCACATGCAGAGAGGTAGCAGCAAGTCAGCACACAGATACAACTTGGGTCGCATCAGGAATACCTTTCTTGAGTAGAGGAGGGCTACACCTGAGCCATATGGGGGGCCTCTTGCTGGGTCTCATCAGAAGGACCACTTAGGAGGGGAGTGGTGGTCTCTGAAGGGGACCTCTTAGGTAAGGTGGCTTCATTTAAATGGGAAGAGGACTGTATTTGTCTTGATTCCATGTCCCTTCTGGTAACAGCAGCAGATTGGAATGACAGAACTAACTCCTGAGAAGGGCTTTGTGACGGCACAAAGGGCAAAGCACCAGTAATTTCTGTTTCAAAGGGCTGGAAAGTGACACCTAGTGTGATGTGGCATCCTCTGGGTGTTGGTGAGTTTGAGTCCCTTTTTGGGGAAAGATGAGGCTGTCTCCTCCCATAGAAATTTCCAGTCTTGGAAACCGTGCCTAGAGTTGTCATTAGAATCCACTCGATGGCTGAGGGTTTGGTTTTGGTTTGAATACACAGTAACGCTCTTCCTCCACTTCTTGAGTCATCCCTCTGACAACAAGCTATGGCATTTTTACTGACATCACCTCAGTCTCTCTCTATCATCCCTGAAGTGGGTGTCATGTCCACATTCGGACAACTCCAGCTCCCAGAGGTGGGTACCTTGCTCTTGTCCACTACACTACCTGCTCCTCCCTCGGCCCCTGGCTCTCAGTCCTGCTGGGGTGGCAGGGGGGCTGCACCAGCATATGCTCTTACCTTGCTGCAGCGCCAGGCTGACCTTGTCCCCCAGCTCCACTGCAGAAGCTCGGTGGACAGGCTCTTTCCTCAGCCCCTCTTGAATGGCCTGGGCAGTGAGAGGGGCGCAGGACGGTGGGATCTCCCTCACAGGTGGGGGCTCGCTGGCAATCTGGGGGTCAAAAGACAACATGGTGAGGCCTGTGGTCCTCATTTTTCAGCACCCAGCCTTTGTGTCCCTGCCCTACACTGTGCTGGATTAGGCACTTCACAGGGAATGGAGAGGCCTGGGGTAGAACCAAGGCAGGGGCTTTGCCCTAAAAAGGGAAAAAGGTTCAGGTAGAGCAGGCCTAGTGTGCAGCTGCAGAATAAGCAGTGGACTGCTAACTGCAAGGTCGGTGGTAACAGCCCACCAGTCGCTTCTCAGAAACCTGAGTCAGAACCAACTCAACAGTACTTAACAATAGAGCAGACCAGGCCAGGGCCAAGGAGCCAGAGGCCCGAGTCCTCCAGGCCCAGCCTGTCAGGAGGCAGAGGAGGATGGCCCAGGGTGTGGACTGAGGCGAGCTCTGAGCTGCCAGGAACTCCGTGAGACCTCACTTCGGGTCTCTCCTTGCATCCTCTGATCTGGGTGGTAGCCTTTCAGTCAGGCCTCCCCCGGCTCCCTGCTCACATCTGTTACTGAAGGGTCCCCCACCCCCAAATGGGAAGCCACCTACAGCCTGGACCTGGTGTTGTCACTAACCTTAAGGAAGAGTGGCCCCAGGAAGTACTGAGTCCAAGGGTGGCAACCATTGAGCATGTGCAGCATCATGCAGCAGCTGCTCCAGATGTCCACCTTAGTGTCACAGGGCTGATTCATCACCACCTCTGGAGCCATGTGAGTCTCTGTGCCAGGGATGTAGTCCCCTGAGTACATGAGGGTGAGACACAACAGTCAGCTGTGAACTCTATTAGCAACAGCCTGGGCAATGCCTGCAGCAGTCACCTCTTGGGGAACCTCGACTGTTTCCCCATTATAGTACTTCAGATGAAGAGACAAAGCCTCCCAGTCTAACGGGGGTGGGGGGGGACGAGCTAAATCAGAGATCTGCCGGGAGAGGGACAAAGCACAGACACAACCAAGGACGGGGCAGGATGCTGAAAATCAGGTAGAAGACTAATGGCATGATGTTCTGAAATATCAGAGATGTAAGAAAACGTGCAAATGCATCAAAGACTGGGAAGAACAGTAGTAGATGTTAACAGTAGGTTTTTTCTGGTGACTTGGATTTTTGGGTGTATATGCTTAGTTCTGCAATTAAAAACTATTTTTTTGTACTAAAAAATCCCCAGTGAAGTTATTTGACTGTGGAGGTGAGGTGTCTGTGGTCAATCTACAGCTTCTAAATCATCAATACAGTCCTTTAATGACAAAGATTCATAGACACCCAAAAGTCTTGTTTTTGGCTTAGGCCAAAATGAAATCATTTTATGGTTAATGCTGTAAATGAAAACAGGAGGGCACAAAAGTTGTGTAATAATGGTCAACAATAAATGATGCATATGCATTTTCTATACACAAAAGAGGACTCCTGGTGTGGTGCTGTGGGATAAAGCATTGGACTGCAAATTGGTTTGAACCACAAGGTCAGCGGTTCAAGTTCACCAGCCGCTCTTCGGAAATCCTATATAGGGTCGCTGTGAGTCGGAACCGACTCGATGGCACTTAAAAACAACAATACACAAAAGAAAAACAAAAAAACAAAAAACCCAAACCATGAAGGAGTTATTTCAGATAGTCTAGAATATTCATGATTATCTCTGGGCAAGAGAAACGGTGAAAATACCTTTCACCCCCTTCCTCTTTTCTACCACTTAATTCTGTATTTGCTAAGTATTCGGGCGCAGATTTCTTAATAAACACAAAGCTCCAGAGCCTTGAACAGAGGTGGGCATGGAGAGCTGGGGTCTCAGCTTGGAGCCTGGCTCCCACACAGGGTCAGGTGAGAGTCATGAGTCACGAGGGCTCTGAACAAGAGGTCTGGGACCTTGGGCAAGGCCCTCAGCCTTTTCGTTCTCTTCTCTGTGTAATGGGAACTTCAGAAATGAGCACTTGGCATGCATTATATAAGCCTAACAACAAAAGCCCTAGGCTTGTGGGACTGAGGGCTACGTTGATGGATGTAAAGTGCTCTTATTCCCATTACAGAACTCCCATTACAGGAGAAGGCCCATGGCTGATGTTCAACAAGAACCACGGCTATCAGCCTATAGGGAGGAGCAGCCTTACCTGTGAGCAAGGACGTCCCCAGGCCACCAGGTTGAAGGCACACAGCATGGCCAAAGTCACAGAGGGCTGCACGGCTCCCATCACTGGACAGCAGCACATTGTCAGCTGCCAGAAGGCCACCCCGGGGGAGGAAGAGGAAGAGGTGAATCACACCATGTCCCAACCCACCCTGTCTGGGCTTGGCCTGGACCACTAGTGAGGTCATTTTCTGGCTGACCCTACAGGGCAGCTGCTGCTTCGTTTCCTTAGCCATGGGGGATGGGAGGAGGTATCAGCTCAGACTAGAGGCAGGCAGCAGGCTGGGGTTCTGAGGAGCTGGGTTTACTCCTGGTCCACGACCACTCAGTTCTGCTATTCCCACCCTCTCCCAGTGGTCACAGATGTGCAGGAGCTTGGTCTTCAGTTCTCTGTGGGCACCACTGCTGGGAACAACGGTGCCTGACTGAAGGCCTGGAGAACACCCTTTTCCCACCACGACCTGTCAGCCAGACTCAGGCTCTGCCACCGGGATTAGCAGGCAGACCCAGAAGAACTGGGAGGATGGGGTGAGGAAGGACTGGGCCCCCTGGGGACCAGGGCCTGGGAGTCTGGGCCTCACCTTTGACATCTCCATGCAGAATCCTTCGCGTATGCAGGTACTCCAGCCCCTCCAAGGCTTGGCCCAGGTAGTACAGGGCCCGGTCCTCTGGCAGACAGCCCTTCTGCTTAATGAGCTGGCCTAGTGAGCCACCTAGGAGACCAATGGCCAGTCTGGACCTGGGCTTTCTCAGGTCTCCAAGCAAGGCAAGGGCAAGAGCAAAGGGCAGGTGATAGAAAAGCAGGCCATTCCCTGCAGATGCTACAGGGTCAGGAGGTTAAAATGAACTGAATAAGGGTCAAGATCACCCGGGCAAGACTTGGGGGAAACACTTGGCTCTACATGTTGAAGGAAAAACAAGTGGGACTTGGTGCCTTACCTTCCAGCAGCTCCATGAAGATGCTGACCCAAGGACCCTCCTTCACAGCACCATATAAAGGGACAATTCTGGGTGAGGTCAATCCTGCACATGCTACCAACTCTTCTGCCCGGAACACTTCGATCCGTACCTGGAAGCACCCAGAGGTGGTCGAGTCAGGAGTGACGGAGACCAGGGCTGCTTGCTCTGGTTTCCGGTCAGGAACTAAACTGAGTACTGTGTGCCCCTGGTGCCAGGTGCCACTCCTTACATGTTATTGAAGTTCTGGAGTGCTGACCATGTGGGAAGACACTGGCATGAAATCACAGGCATTGATTGCCAGGCTCCTGGCAGGCTGCCCACCCTCAAATCTGCCAAACAGAGGATATTTGTTACCTCTACTCCAACATCTGGGAGACTGGGGGGACATTAGCCTTCTGTTAATCAATATCCATGTCTACTCTCAAAATTGGGGTTTCTGACTTCTCTGAAGCTTGAGTGGATATGATGAAAACTCTGTCTCAGGCTCCACAGGCCCCTCAATACTCTGCTTAACATCCATTCTTAGTGGTCTCTGTCTCAGAAGTCACAGCTCCACGCAGGCAGGGCAGTGTTGATGTTTACTGTTTGCAGCTGTTTCCCTAGCATCTGGACACATAGGCGGCATCAAGGGCTGTGTTGGCCTGGAAAGGCCACTGACTCCACTCTGGAGGGAGTGGCAGTTGGCACGGTGGGAAGTCCTGGCTGAGGTCATATCCAAAGACAGATCGCATCTCCTCAGCCGTGTGTTTGCACATGTGAATGAGGACTCGGAGGGATGACACGTACCACTGTTGTTCTTGTTGGTAAGTGTCATCAAGTCGTCCCAACTCATAGCAATCCTGTATAGGGTTTCCAAAGAGTGGCCAGTGAGTTTGAACCGCCAACCTTGTGGTTTAAACTAACCTTGCGGTCCAGTGCTTTATCCCACAGTGCCACATGCCGGGCAAGCAGTGGGTGCTCACTCTTACTCCAGCTGGAATAAGAACAGTTTAGTATGCACTTAGACTTCATAATAGTGACTGATCCTGCTTCCAGGCTTCTGTAGAAACTTTAAGCAGCATCACCAGGGGGTCATCCAAACCAGTCTGGAAGAAATCTGTCTGGGATTCAGCAGTTTTCTTTGGAGACCTGCTGGCTTGAGCTCTGATGATATGGGGCTTTGGCATATCAGTGGGAAGTCTTTCTCTTCTGGTTAAATAATTATCTGGTTTGGTTCATCAACTCCCATGGGCTTGGATTGTTCATTGTCTATGTTTCCAGCTCTTTAAGAGGCCTTAGCATCTGAGTTGGAACTAAATCACTAAGAGGACTTGCATCAGAAAATGTGTTTTAACCCTGCAGTTTCCAAGTTGGGAGCTGAAGTCCTCGGCACGGTAGAGAACAGAAGGGAAGGATGTTTTACATTTGAGTAAGCGCAGTGCCTGGCATCCGTGGGCACCCTGAAAACAACCAACACAATGTGCCTTTGGATGATGTATTTTGTGAAGTTGGGTTTCTGAAGGTTGTGGTGATAAAAAACCAACAACTAGTACTTCCAGAGAAAACTGTGGAATAGGAAATGGAGGTGGCGCTGTCCAATCTCATTTTAAGACTTGAGAAGTGGGGCAGTGCCCAACAAGACCCACACATCATGAAGAAGTCATTTTATGTTGTTTAAGAGTAGAATAAAAATTTTCTCTCAAGTTACGTTTATTTTTCAAATGACTACTAAGTTATCAGGACAAATACTACTTGAGAAACGGAGCTATAGGTGTTTCTTTTGGCCAGAGGCATCATGAAATAATTGCCGAAACCTTAAGGACGGAACCAAACAAGCTTGGGAACCTCCGCTTTAGCCTTCAAAGACACCGATAAATCTCTATAGCGGATTGCAGTTGTTAAGTGCCATTGAGTCGGTTCTGACTCCTAGTGACCACGTGTAGGGTTTCCAAGGAGCGGCTGGTGAGTTTGAACCACCAACCTTCTGGTTTAAACCAACCTTTTGGTCCTGCACTTATCCTACAGCACCCCACCAGGACTCCACAGTAATGGATTGTTATTGTTAAGTGCCGTCGAATTGGTTCTGACCCATAGCGACCCTGTATAGGGTTTCCAAAGAGCAGCTGGTGAGTGTGAATTGCCAAACTTGCAGTTCAAACGGCTTTGCAGTCTGATGCATTAGCCCACAGCACCACACCAGGACTCCACAGTAGTGGATTAGCAATGTTAAAAACATCTCCAATCACCCAGAGCAAAGTGGAGACGGAGAAAATACTTCAAAGCACAAGGTGCTCCTTTAGAAGTCCGGACCAGCCCCAGAGAGAGCAAGCTGGAAAGGCAGTCAGATGGGGAGAAAGTGCCCAGCTTTCTAGTCCAGCTCCAGCCGCCAGTCGGGCCCACCTGCTCTCTGTACCCAGCAGTGCCCTCATCTGTAACTTTGGGGGCTGGACTGTGATGAGGACGTTAGTGAGAATGCATAGATCAATGCCCACTTAACACTGAGCATTCGAACTGTTCTAAGCACTTTAGAAGCATTAGTTATTTATAGCCTACAATAGCCTAGCAGGTGGTATTATCATTATCCCCATTTTATAGATAAGGAAGCTGAAACCTAGAAAAGTAACTTGTCCAAGGTCACTGGGTAAACGTATCAGAGCTTCAGAAGCCTGGCTCTAGAGCCACCAGCCACCCTGTCTCCCTGATGGCTGTTCCGGATGGTTTTCCATCCAGGCCCTGCAGAAGCGAGCACACCCATATGGAGTCTGGTCAGCCACTCGGCCCAGAATCACTTCCTTCCACTGAACTGCCTTCCGGAGACGCTCCTCTTGTTCACTTTCATAGTCTCCACTTTATTTCCTCTCTACAGAGCAATTCTGTAAGATCTTTTGAAGGTCCCTCATTACTCTGACCCTGACCAGCAGACTTCTGATGACCTGCCCACCTCTGAGGCCTTATCCCCAACTTAGCAGGGGGCTGTTTCTCATCTGGCCTTCGAGCTGAAATCTGAAAGCCTTGCCTGCCTTCCAGCCCTCTTGAGAGAGAGGAGGGGCTGTGTGGGCTGCCAACGAGCTGTCCCCAGAGTGCTTCTTGGACTAAGAAGAGGGAAAATTCTGCGAGGGGCCAGCTCCAGTCAGCTAGAGCAGCCGCTCTGGTGCTGGGAAGTCTGGGTGTTGTGGTTGGAGCTTTTCCTACTGCCTTGGGGAGGTGGAAATGTATTTGTTCTCTACTACTACGTTAGGGCTGTTTACCTTATTGCCTGGGACTCAGTGCCTCCGCAGGGGAACAGCTGGGAGGTGCAGTGACTAAGCTCCCCAGCACTGGCTGTCCCTCTTCAGGACACTTCAGTCTCTTGCCCTCCTCTGCCTGCCTCTTAGGAGGGGACAGCTGAGCCTTCTCTGGTAGCCTGGGGAGGGGAACTGCAGCTGGGGAGGTCATGCACTTGGCTTTGGCAGCCAAGTGAAAGATGACCGATGATGGCAAAAACTCAGCACATGTTTCTGTCAGTGGGGGGTGGCTAGGGGTGGGTTGTTGTTGTTAAGTGCCATCGAGTCGCTTCTGACTCAGAGCAATCCTGGATAGGATTTCCGAGGAGTGGCTGAGAGGTCCGAACCACACCAACCTTCCAGTCCAGTGCTTATCCTACAGCGCCACGCCACGACCAAGGAGATTGGGTGGAGCTTGCTTATTTGACACAGTTGATCTGACATTTGGGGCAATACTTATGGATAGTCCCCTTTCTTGGCCTGTCACCAACTTGTCAGTAAACCTGGCCTGTGGACAAAGCAGGAAGCTAGGTTTATTGTCATCACAATCTGTACCATCACCACTTACATCATGGTGTGCCCATGCTGCACACAGCCAATGGTGCTGGGCCTGCCTTGTCTGACGACTGAAGGAACAGCCACTTGAAACAAGGTTCCTATTTTCACTCAGCCCACAGAGCCCAGGAAATGGCTCACGGGATGTTTCTGACTTCTGAGGTCCTGGGTGCTAGCTCTGAGACTGAGAGTTTAGGCAAGGGACAAAGTGGCTTCTAATCAAAGTGAGTGAAGCGTCGGATCAGGGGGACAAGAAAAGATAGTGGAGGTCCGTGAATTTGTTGCCACCGCCACTGATTCTGGCCAGGACTTGCTGGTCTGATTTGACAGAGGCAGGAGAACTGAGCTCTCAGCCTCCAGGTGCAGCCTTGGACCGGTTTGCTCCCTCTCCGATCCTTCTAACTGGTGAGATGTGAGGGTGGAACAGATAGTTCACTCTTCCTGCCACCCATCAGAATTCTAGGACCATAAGCCTGCCTCTCTACACCTGTCCTGAAAAGTGCTTTCAAGTACAAACTCTACAGTCAGACAAACCTGGTTCAGTCACTAGACCAGTGACATCTTGTACCAAGTCCCATTTCCTCTTACTATGTATCTCACAAGACTGTTGTGAGGAACAAAGGAGATAATACATGTTTACTGATTTGTAACCAGAATCAGTGACGTGCTTACTAGGTTAGGTACCAGGCACCATGCTGAGCAGTCAACACCTCACACTCTCTCAGTCCTCTCAAGAACCCCGCTGCTCAGGTCTGCCGCCCCCACTTTACAGATGAGGAAACAGACACATGCCTCTCCAAGCTCTCCGAGCTGAGATGTGGTGTGGCTCCCCACGGTGTGGTTGAGCTCCACATGAATTTTATGATGATCCAATCACAATCATCTGCCAGGTTTCGATTCGTCCCTAAGGACTTGACATTTTGAGTGGCCAAGACTGTAACCGGACACTGAGGGCCCTCCACACACATACACCACGTGTAGCAGCTCCCAGGCCAGGACACGTGACTAAGGGCCTCCTCCAGTTCCCACTAACCCAGGGCACTTAGTCCTGGTAATAAAGTGGTTTATGCATAGGGTTACCAATCACAAGATCAGCTGTTCAAATTCACCAGGAGCTCTGTGGGAGAAAGATGAGGCTTTCTGCTCCCATCAAGATTGACAGCCTGAGATAAACACTATACAGGGGCACTCTGAGTCAGAACCAATCCCCTGGCACACAGCAGCAGGAGGGCACATAGTGATAACCAAGCTCGGACAGACCTACGCTGCCCTGCAAAAAGGCAGAAGTAACAGAGTGGCCACCTGTAGGCTTCCCTCGTCAGTCCCTGCACACCCTTTTATCGGGGGTAGATGGGGGGCCTTGCGCACCTTTTTGACTGCACACTGGAAGCCAGTCCGTTTGTCTTCCATCCTGTGAACCTCTCCGAAGGAGCCTCGGCCCAGGCGGGGCTGCTTTGTGGCCCAGTGCACCTCCTCTCGGTACTCATAATCCACTGGCTTGAGTTTCTGGGGATCGCAGAAGAGAGAGGACAGTTTCAATGGCCAAGGCAGCCAGAGGATAAAGAGCGACAGTAAGGAAGGGGCTTGTAGGGACAGGAGGAAGGCTGAACTGACTGCCTGGGGTACAGCAGCACCTTTTCCCAGACTTGTGGGCCTGGGTCAGAAATGAAATTGTAAGCAACCTGGACAATGTGAAAATATAACTTGGGAGTAAGAAAGGGGGGGAGCAAAGTGTTAAGAGGGGCAGGCGGGGCCTAGGGATAGTGTTAATCAACAGCGGAATAAATCCCGTCATTTCAGCTTGGTAAAGTCATTTAAAGCTACAAAGTTATCTATTAAGAGAAGGGAACGAGGGAGGCAGTGAAGATGAACAAACTATTCATCTTTTATATCAGGGAGCCTTTCAATCATATCTGAACTGGATGATCGAGGTTTCTACCTGCTTCTTAACTTCGGCATTATTCATATAACACACACACAATACTTTAGCAACAATGAGGTGGTTGTTATTAAGTGCCATCAAGTTGGTTCTGACTTATATTGACCCTGCATAGGGTTTCTGAGGCTTTAACTCTTGGCAGCGGCAGAAGCCTCATCTTTCTCCCAAGGAGTGGCTGGGACCTTGTGATGTGCAGTCCAGTGCTTACCGTTGGAGCCACTGCACTCCCAGCAATGATGTTACCATCCAGAATAACCAGAAGCAGACACAGTTAAAGAGACCCTGATAAACGCACCTGGGATGGAGTGGGAGGCTGCTCATTCTCATCAGTGACAACTGTCTACCATCTGACTTGTCACCATGTGCCTAATGACTATGATACAGGGTGGAAACTTGGGGGTGAGGCTGGCAGGTTTTAGTGACACCTTTTCCCCCATAGCAGGTCCCACCCTGACTCCCAGCTGCTGCCCTTGGCCCGAGTTGGCGGTATATGTGTGTGTGAGAGAGAGAGAGAGAGAAAGAGAGAGATTGGGGGAATAGTTACCTCATGAAGCAGTACCCCTTCACTGTCTTCAGTTTCAGGGCTGGGCCCCCGCAGCCTGGGACTTCCTGCCGACCAGGTCTTGGCCAGACTGGCCAGACTGTGGGCCTGGCCTGAGCTCACACTGCCCTGCAACGCATGCACCAAGTATTCTTCCACAGAAAATTTCTCACCAGTGCCACGTGATGGGCAGCTAGACTCCAGGTGTGGGCCTGGCAGGGGCTTCTGACTGTCTATATATGCCAGTTTGCCCAGGTGTGGGCCAGGCAGGGGTTTCTGACTGTCTGTACATGCCAGCTTGCTCAGAAAGGATTCCAAAGGGTGAGGTTTCCAGGGCTGAAGGGGGTTGAATGGGAAGGGATGGGGCAGTCTGCTGTAGGGGACAGGATGAGCTAGCCGGGGCAGGGGCCCCATATCCTGGGGGTGATGGAGTTTCCACACATGGTTCAGACACTGCAGGGGGCTGATCAGCTTGTGGAATTCCGATCGAGGAAGTGCTGGCCGTATGTCTTCCCCGAGTTTTTTAAAACATAGTTGGCCAAGGCTTGGCTCCTTCAGAAGCTTGGTGAACTGTGGGGTGCTTCTAACATATGAGGAGCCTAATGGAGACTCATCTTCCTGTGAGGAAAACACACAGCGTCAGGAATAAGGTCAAGGGCACACAGTGTTCCTCAAAAGAGCCATTCTGGAAACTGATGAGTCTGGGGTCTGCAACGTGGGTGAGGTCTTACCTGAATTGGGACTGTGCAGCTCTCTTGCTCAGGGATCCTAGGGAGAGGTTTGGCCAAGGCCACTCCGGCCTGAGCCAGGGCCTTTGAGCTCTTCTTCTTCCGTTTCTTCCGGGCTTTGCTGCGACGCTTTCCCTTCCAACATATAGGGGCCATTTTGCCCTCAGTAGCATGGGCCACATTGTTGGGGATTTGATCGAGGCTATCCGACTGGCTGTCAAAAGGGCAAGATACTCATTTTGAGTATGAAGAGGCAAGGGGATGCAGTGGCACAGAGAGATGGACTGGTTTGGAGTCACAGACAGCAGTGGTCAAATCTCAGCTTTGTTATTACTTGTGTGAACCTGGAAAAGGTCCTTAACACACAATGGCTTTCAGTTTTCTCCTTTATAAAAGTACTATGGTTTCTACCATGGAAGGTGGAAATGCTGTCTAACAGAAACAGCTCAGTTAAAAGGCCTGTCTCTCTCCTGCCTGTCTGGGTACCTGGCCACAATCAGCAGTAGTTAAGGCTCAAGTGATGAGGTGTACACTTAGCTCTGTCCAAGGAGACAGCGGTGGCAGGAGACACACACAGCCCTCACTCCTCATAAGGCCTCCTTGTCTGCCTCCACAGGGAGCTTAGGTCTAGGGGGATAGCTGGAGAGGCTTCCAGGCTTCTGAAAACGTGGGTCCTCCAGAGACCCCCTGCCCTAGGCCAAAAGCACCTTCAGCACTGAGCAGTTCTTGGTTCAGGGAAGCGGCTGTGGTTCCCACCTTTTCCTCGATAGCAGTTTCCCAATTCCAGTGATTACAAAAATGGCTGCTTGCTGGTTTGTTGTTGTTGTGAGGTACCATTTGTTGAGTCGCCTCTGACTCCTAATGACCCTATGCACAACACTGATGGAAACAGGCCCAGTCCTGCGTCATCCTCACATCTACCACCCCCTGGTGGTAGAAGATGGAATTGTTTCTAGGTTCAATTCTCAGTTGCCAACAATCATCTTTAGGGGAATGGGAAGCTTGGGAACAGATACGCCTCACCCCTGGGTTCCTGTTGACAGTGCTACTGAGCTGTTCACATTTTACATTTCTACAATCCTCATGTCTACTTGGGTGTGCTGTTTACTCCCATGGACGGCAGTTACAGTGGAAGCTTTGGGGCCTTCATTCATGGTCACACCAGTGGGAACTTGTGTTCCCAGCACCCTCCCCACTGATGGGAAGCAAGGGGTGTATCAAGGGCTCAGTGAATACAAATAAGATGCCAAGCTGATGTGGCCTAGAGGCAGTCTACCAGAAGCCACAAGCCGTGAAAAGCTTTTGAAAAGTTTACTTGGCTAAGAGACCAGCTCAGCCAGGAAAACCTGGGCTGGTTCCAGGAGCTGAACCACAGGTGCTGAGGAGGCAGCCAGGGGTCACTTGGGAGCAGCCTGGGCAAGCCGCTGGGGGGAGGGAGGCCACTGCCCTCAATTCCCTGCCTTTCCAGTCAAGCTTGCCGGCTTACCTGTACTGTTTCGAGCCAGCGATGAAAATTCGTTCAGAAAAGGTGGGACTGAACTCTTGGCTATTCTCACCTTTTAAATAATGGGGGAGGGTTGGGGAGACAAGCAGAGGGGAGAAGAGAAAGAAGAGAAATTCAGCACTTAGGCGAAAGAAATTTTATAGCTGTCTTCTGGGGCCATTCTTCCCCCACCTGCCTAAACCACCTCCACCTGGTGGTTCACCTACCATTGTCTCCTTCTCTCACGAACTGTCCTCTTCTCACCCCCCAGTCAAGAGCAGAGGATGCGTCTGTGTAATATGCAACCCTACGGGTGCCCACCTCACTTCAGTTGCTATGACACTTAAGTGAGATATTGTGCTTTGTTGTTAAGTGCTGTTGAGGCAGTTCCAACTCATAGTGACCCTGTGTGGGGTTTCCAAGGAGCGGCTGGTGGGTTTGAATCACCAACCTTGTGGTTAGCAGTCCCGTGCTTATCCTATAGCACCCTACCACGACGCCTAAGTACGATAACCTACCTAAAATACTCAAGATAGTGCCTGGCACATAGTCACAGCTCAATAAATAGAAGGAGGCCTGGCAGTGTCGTGGGTTACAAGTTGGGTTGCTAGCCATGAGGTCAGCAGTTCAAATCTACCAGCCACTCTTTGGGAGAAAGATGAGGCTTTCTGATTCCGTGAACATTCATGGCCTTGGAAACCCTATACGGGGACACTTTGCATCGGAACAGGCTTGACACAGACCACCACCATTGTATACATCTCTCTCTCTATTTTTGGAGTCCCTGGGTGGCATAAATGGTTAAGCGGTGAACCACTAATCTCCCCACCCCCTTGCTACTTAAGGTACCTTGGAAGGAAGCCTGGGGTAATCTGCTTGCAAAAGGTCACAGTCTTGAAGACCCTATGGGGCAAGTCAAGTTGGTACACACGGGGGCGCCCTGAGTAGGAATCCACTCAACAGCAAGTAACAGTAACAACATGTGATCACCTTATTACTATCTCAGTCACTCTTGTGAAAAACGTTGTTCTCTCATCTTTCCTCAAAAACCAACCTAAAGGAAGTCGAAGCTGAGGGGAAGGCTATGTCTAGGTGGGAAATGCCTTCAGAACCTCTTGGTCTCTCTAGGCTGTACCGAGAAACTGCCTGGGCTGGAATGTAGGATTCCTAGTCCTCCCCAGGCCTCCTGAGAGAGTCTCTGTCTCCCAGGGGCAGCCATCATTCCTAGCCATTTGGAGGTTATCGAGTAGATGCAGAAGGGGCCAGGCCAGGTCTCCCCCTGCAGTGGCCTGCTGCTCTAGACTGGCCCAACAGGCCCAGAGCAGGTGTTCACTACTCTTTGGGGTGGGGCCAACTCCAGGTGGAAGGTGGTGAAGGGCTTATTGGCCCCAGAGGGGCTTTCCAAGAGGCCTGGCTTTTCCTGTCTGGGGCCTCTCCAGAGTGGCTCAGCTGCTCACGTTCACAGCACAAGACTGAGGCCTGGCTCATCAAGCCTGCAAAGAGTGCTCAGGACTAGGAAGCGCGCCCAGGGATTCCCGTCCCCTCGCTCGCCTCCCTTGCTCTGGCCACAGTGAACAAAAGCCTCCCTTCTTAGGCTCCATTCCCTTTTCTAGTTCCCATTTGACACCGATTCTTGCTTTAGCCCTCTGTGGTATCTTCTGAGGATCTTACATAGCAGCTACCTCTTCCACAGGGGAACCCTCAGAGTAGCTTATCTGTGCCCAGCCACCTGCCCTCGTGCCAACAGCCCTTACATTCGGCCTGGGCGATGATGGAGATGGCGGTCAGCCCACCCTCAGAGCCTTCCTTGGCTGTGCCTTTGGTAATGACGTCGTTCAGGATCTGCCACTTCCCGCAGAACACAGGGGTCTTCTCTGAGGCCTCAAGCTTGCACACGGAGCTCTGATTCTTCCCCAATGTCTGCGCCTTCTCCTTGGCTTTGGCGAGCTCCTTTTGTTGCCCGACTGCTGAGCCAGGGGTGCCCGGACAGACCAGTTCCATCACTGCCATTTCCCAGCCCCAGCTCACCCTGAGAGAGAGCAAACACAGAACAGTCACTAGAGCCCCAGACCCCGGTGGTGGTGGTGGTGGTGGTGGGGGCAGGAGGGGGAACCAGACCAGGCTGGGGCTGGAGAAGAGTAGGGGCGGAAGGTCACATGTATTGATTTTCCAGAACTGCAAATGGTGAAGCTCCAAGTCATGTGGGCCTGGCCCTTTCAGCTCTCCAGTATAAACGAGCACCTCCACTCAGTCCTACAGCGGCAACATGCATCGGGACTGGCTTTCTTGCCTTCATAATTGGTTGAATCTTTTTTTGTTGTTTGATGGCAAATGTAGGCTTAAAGCAGGAAAGGGGGGCGGAGCCAACCCTCCAAAGCCATCAGTTACATCATCTACCCTGTCTAGTCCTTAGCTTCTATGATGGTGTGTGTATACAAGCCGCAGTGGCTAGCCTCCAAGGGGAGAGAATTAAATATTTGCTTTTTGTTTTTCCGCAGCAGGAGGTATATATGTAGGCATATGTCTGAAGGGAGGTATGTACATGTCTGAGAGGACTTCAAAAAGTCTTTTTGAAACCCCCTTGTATGTGCATATATACATATGACAGACCTGCGCGCACACATGTACATATAAAATCTTACAAAGTCTGCAAATCAGCATGCAAACAGAGCTCAGTCCTTGGCTTCATCCTCTGACGCATCTTTTCAAGGGCTTTCTAGAAGGAACTGACATGCTGTCTTCTATAGTTTCCAAACTCATTTGCTAAAAACTTCTCCTAGGTTATCTGTTTTTCTTTCAGGCAACATTAGTAGTGGAATTTATATGACACCACCAATACCAACCTATATCTCTAAAACTGTTCACCTTTATCTGGGTTGTGGGTTCACCTTTACCAGCCTTAGCCTTGTCCACTCCCAAGGAAACCACAATCAATGTGAACAGAATGGAGACCAGAATTGTCATGAGAGAGGGCAGCCCTGTTCTGAGGTTGTTCCATTTGGAAATCTTTTAAATGACCAGGGCTGTGGAGCCCCAAAAGGCAGTGCTCGTCGGGTGTGACCGGCCTTAGAAAAAGCCTGGGAAGGAACGGATACAGCCAGATTTTTGATACTTGCCCTCTGATGAATTTTAAAACTATACTAACAGCTGCAGTCTTCCTTGATGTAACTCCATGAAACCTGGATCATTGGGGCAGACAGGCAACCATGCAAAGTCAAACCTCTACTGTGTCTGGCCCTTGGCCCATGAGACTGTGGGAAGCTGGGAAATGCTAGGCTGATACCGCTTTCCTAATGAATGGCCTTGGTCAACTCCTCCTACCATGACGTCTACCAAAGACTGAGCCAGCTTAACTGGGAGATGGGCTAAAGGGTAGGAACTGGATTTGCTGGGACTACACTCGATCCTTGCATCTTGGCCTTCAAGGCAAAGTTCCCAGCTTCCAACACGGGTACCGACATGCCACCCTGAAAGCCAGACGTGGAGAAGGCTCACTGCAGCCTCATGGTTGTGCGATCTTCTTTAGCCTAAGGAGTATTCTGACTTTTAAGTTGGGGGAACCCTCTATGGCAGGGTGGTTTTCTTTTACCTCACCCCACACTTCCCCAGCCCCCTGCCCCTTCAAAAAGACTTGATCCAACGGCCTAGAGGTGAGCCTACTTTTCTCAGCCTCTATAAATGGGGAAATGAGATTTAGAAAACAGGCCAACAAGTCTCCAAACCCAACAGTATTAGAGGTGTGCTTACAGGGATCCTGACATTACTTTAACCTCCTCATTTATTACTTGAAAACAACAGAGGCCTGAAGAAGTGGACACTTGTTCAAAGTCTGTGTGCTGTGTGTGGCCGAGCAGGGCCAGGACTGGAACCCTGGGCTCTTCAGGCTGTACTGTCCACTCCTGCAGTCTTGCTGGGTTACAGGAAACACAAGGAAGGGACACTCGGGTCTCCCTGGTCAGTCAGTCCCCCGGAGAGCAGAGGTGGGGCCCTGGACACGGTGGCACCGTACTCCCAGCATATACAGCACTTGCAGGGCACAGACCAGACAACTGATGTTGGCTGACTGATGACATCAAAAGATGAAGACTGGTTTCCCATGACTTTCAGAGACAAAATGAGCCTCAGCATCGGGGATGGTGAGTCCCATCTGACCGAGGAGAAAGATGGAAGACTGACTTCTGAGTGCATCCAGAGCTCTAGCTGCCCTCGGGCTCAGAGTACCTGTTGCTGCCTGGCAGAGCTCACTGAGTGCTCTGGATTGCTCATCCCCAGCTGCAGCTCCTCCAGGGAGGCTGTGGGGCATCTCCTTGCCCTAGGGAGCTGCCCTTTCATCTTGGTGGTTAGGTGGGCAGCTGACCAGGGACCCCGTTCCTCCCTCTATGAACATACCAGACTCCCCCATCCCCACGGAAGAAGCAGGGACTGAGGCTCCTCTGCAGAACCCTGGTAGTGCCGTGGATCTCAGCTGTAAACCAAAATGTCAGTGGTTTGAACCCACTAGTAGCTTGATAAGAGAAAGATGTGGCAGTTTGCTCCCGCAAAGACTCACAGCCTTGGAAACCTTATGAGGCAATTCTACTCCGTCCTGTAGCGTAGCTCTGAGTAGACATTGACTCAAAAGCAACAGATGGAATGACTCACCCAACAGCCTGGCAGGCAGACAGAGTAACAAAGAGGCTGGGAGAAGCTGACCCAGCAGCTAGCAGCTGAATCTGTGAAGGGCACGGGGAAACAGACTGACCCCCACCTCATGGGGGCATGGAATCATGGCCCGGGAGCCGTAGAGCTTCTCTGGTAGCTGCTGTCCTATGCCACATGACCATGACTCAGACTCTCACCAACAGCCTCCAAGTTCAAGGGACTATTCTTGGGAAACACTGGCCTGACAACAGCTCACACACACACACACGTTCACTCACCCCCTCTTTCCCCAATTCTGTGTGGGTTCTGGTCTATCAAAAAAAAAAAAAGAAAGAAAAAAAAGTGCTGTAGTAAGCCTGGAACTGCTGACCACCTGGTGGCTTGCTCAGTCCTGGGCTTTGGCCCCTGGCTCGCACCCCAGTTCAAAGCCCCACATAGCTACCCCTCATCACCCCTACAGCTTGCGGGGGGTGGTGAGGACTCAGTGGGAGCTTGTTGTGAAGGCAAATCAAAATCTTATCCATTCATTACTCAATCACTCCACTAAGGCCTCCAATGCATCCAACCCTGATTTCCTGTGTCAGAGTTGGGCACATGATCAGTAGACAGCCACACCAGACCGACTAGAGCTTGTAAAAACTGGGACAAGAAAGGTGTAGCATTCATTCAGGATTATTTCAGGGCCTTTTGTTGTGGAGTGCCATCGAGTTGGTTCTGACTCATAGTGACCCTGTACAGGGTTTCCAAGGCTGTAAATCTAAGCCTCATTTTCTCCGGCAGAGCAGCTGGTAGGCTTGCATCATAGACCTTGTGGTTTGTCATTCAGTGCTTAGTCTACAGAAGCACTATGCTTCCTGAAGGAGCTGCTCTGCTATGTATGAAACACCGACCCCAACCTGATGCATTATATTTCCACTTCTCTCTCAGGTTTGGAGGGTAGGATTGACTGGAATGGGACTCGAATCAACCCTTGGCCATATCTGTATGATGTGTCGGCGATGGGCTTCCCACCAGAGAGTAAAAGATCTTTTGCCCCAAGTTGAGGAATTCTCCATCTGGACACAAGGATGGCTTCAGGGATACCTGGGAGTCCCTAGGAATGGTGTGTAATTTATATCTTCCCTGAGGAGCGATCCACAGCTTTCCCTATATTCTCAAAGGACCTGTAGTCCCTGGAAGATCAGGTCAAAGCTAAACGTTTGGTTGTTGCTCCGCCCTTCCCATCCAAGGAAGAGGCCTGTAACTCCTCGGATTCCAACCTGTCAGTTAGAATAATCAGGTGAGTTCTAAAGCACCCTCTCCCCTCTGACCTCTGACTCAGAAGCACTGTGCATTACGGCCATGTCTGTGCTTCTGACAAGTTCTCTGGATGATTCCAAGGCTGAGGGGCAAGGACTGCCATTTAACCCTGCTTTGTACTCTATAAGGCTGCACTTGTGGCTCTCTGCATGTAAATTCATTAAAAAGCATCAAAACCTGTTCTCAGCTACCCTAGCTACAATAAAGGGCTGCATAATGCTTTCTCGGACAGCAAAACGTCTGCTCCCAGGAGTCTAGGACAGAAACGGGGTGCAAGCTAAACGAATTTATTATTAACCTGGAAGGTAAAAAATATTGTTCTAGATTTTGATCTTCAATGATGATAATCTTTCTAAAATGTATCCGATTTTAGTTCCCTGTTTGAGTAAGTACAGTGTAATGAAATCACTAGACGAGGAAATGCCTTAACAATAAACAAACAAAACCTGGAACCATTTTTGTCAGATGAAATCATACCTCAATCCCCAATGTATAAAAGATCAAGAAGCATGCAACTGATATGTAACTCACATGAGAAACAGCTGCTCTGGGTAAGAGAGGGTAGAAAGAGAGGGCCTCAGGCGTTCAGCTTACTTTCATCCACCAAGCACCTCTGTGGAGTTCTGGTCTCTGAGGAAAACTGTTTGAAAACAAGTTGCCTAGCAGATCTTTTGAGGTTCTTTGTAGTTCCAAGAATACAAGCATTTACCAGGATGATTTTAGGTCCAGCTGACTCCAATTCAAAACAAGAATTGTCACTATTTATTAAGCACGTACTGTTATTAATCTCTTTTTCAGATGTGAAAGCTGAGGCTTAGAGACATTCAGTGGGCTGCCAAAGATGTTTCACAGGTACAAGCTGTGGAGATACGTTTGGAGCAGGCTGCTTCCACCTTAGCCTGCAGGCTAAACCCAACAGGTAACTTCTCTGAGTTTTCTCTGTTCTTCGTTGTGGTTTTGAGGGCTGAACAAGGTAAACTACATGAAATGCCGATCAGTTTGCCTGGTTGTTGTGTGCCATTGAGTTGGTTGACTCATGGCGACTCTGTATAGGGTTTCCAAGGAGTGGCTGGTTGGTTTGAACTGCCAACCTTGCTGTTAGAAGTCCAGTGCTTATCCTATAGTG